ATGCCCGCGAGGTGTCGCCGATCTTCACACAGTTCCTGGACTGCACCTGGCAGCTGATGTCGCAGCGCAGCGAGGCCTTCGAATTCAACGAGCGATTCCTGCTGATCCTGCACGACCATGTGCACTCATGTCAATTCGGCACCTTTGTGGGCAACTGCGAGAAGGACCGCTTGGATCTGAAGCTGGCCGAGCGCACCTTTTCACTGTGGGGCTTTATGGCCAATCACCTGAACGAGTATATCAACCCGCTGTACAAACCAAATGTGGACGAGGCCATTAAGGCCAACCTGGCACCGCAGTGCATCAAGTGAGGACTTCCTAGAGTGAACCAAATCTTATATAAATTATTCAATTCTCGTGCAGATTCTGGCGCGGCATGTACAGTCGCTTTGAGAGCGGCATTCATCCGCGGGAGCCACTAGGCGACCTGCTGCTCGATAGCAAGGAGCACTGCAACTCTCTGGAGGACCACGTGCAGCATCTGACCAAGCGCATAGCCAGCTTTAAGAACTACATCTCCAAGTCGGCCAAGAAACTGCAAGACGCCACCAGTGCACCTGGCAAAGTTAGCAAGGAGCTGCCCAGCAACGAGATCAATGATAACAAGTGCGAAAGGAGCCCATATTTTTGAGTTCAGGATGAATCTTATACAATCCATCCTTTATTGCAGATACAACTACGATAAAAAGCTAAGCGAACTGTCTGCAGCCGATGACGACCATCCGCTTAAGGCCAGCAACATGTCCTTCGCCAGCCTGTCGCTGAGCGCGGAACAATCCAGTCCGCCGCAGGCGTTGCCCGAGGAAATCAACTCCGTGGCCGTAGACTGGAAGCCCATGCGCAATGTGACAACCTGCTCCTGCTCCACGCCCTTCGATCAGTTCAGCAAAAAGGTGGGTACTCCACGTACTCACACAACTCTTCCAATACTTATCCAATCCTCGAATAGACACACTGCTGGCGCTGCGGGGACATCTTCTGCGAGCGCTGCATAGACAAGAATGTGGCTCTGCCAGGACACGACAGTGGAAAGCCGGTGCCAGTGTGCCGGGGCTGCTTCCGGCAAATGCAAAAGCAGAGCCCATAGAGTATCAAAAAATGAGGGCAGGATCAAGGAACGAATGTGGAACGAACGAATGAGCGGAGCTAGGATGTGCGATCGACATGGAAACGCTATTAATTATATTGTGTGTATTTATTGTTGCATTTGTAGCTTTAGCTGCTTGTAGAAGCGCATTCTAGTTGCTGCAAATGGAAATCAAAAGAGTAAAACCAAATCAATCCACCAGCGATTAGCTTCCAGGCATCATCCTAGTCTATAAGCCGGGCACAAAACTGTATTTTGTTGTTAGAATCTAGAGCTACTAATTTGCCAATCCCAGCCCCCCACAAGGAAAGTACAATTAGCTGTCAGAGCAAACTTGCTCCTGATCGAAATACTTATTATTTCCGAAGAGCGAGTTCTCCGGATGTACAGACTCCTGGGCCTAGCCCTTCTTCGCAGCAGCGGCCCTGGCATCCAGTATATTCCACTAGCATTAACGTGCAACACATCCGTAAATTATGAAAACTATGCAATCTTGTTTGTCGATTTGATCAAAGTGTAATAAAAATTATTTATTCAACAACTGCGAGTTCCTACTGAGCGATCGATGACGTCTGATTAGTAGCCAATGTCTGGCTTGATGCGGAGAATGACCGGAACACTGGTGCAGGGCAGAATGGCCACCTCGGTTACCACGGCACTCACCAGCTCCGGCGGAGTAATGTCGTAGCTGAGGTTGAGCGGCAACAGCTTCCCTTTGGCCGCCCAGTTACTTAGCTGGCACTTGTCCCCGCGCACCAGTTGGTTGGGATCGCTGAGCTCGTTGTAGACGATGGCGTCCGTCTGGAAGCGCTCGCTGAACTTGTGCGTCTCGCAGCACACGAGGACCGGCACGTTATGAGCATTGGCCACCAGGGCCACCTGGGCGGTGCCCGTGCGCGCCATCACGTATCCGTTGGCCAGCAGGGCGTGTGCACCCAGCAGCACCTTAGTGGCCTCCGCCATCACATAGCCCACGGCGTTGATCAGCACGTAGGTGCACGGTATTCCGTTGGCGTGCAGTCGGCGCAGCAGCTCCTGGCCTTCGCATCCGGGTCGGGAATCGACTACAATCACCCGGAAGGCCACCTGGCGCCGCTTGGCCTCCTCACAGATGAACTGTATAAGGGAAGAGCAGGCAAAGGTCAGCAGCACGTCGCCATCGGTGATCTTTTCCTGCAGGAAGCCGCTGATCGCTTGGGCCGCCTTGCCGATTTGATTTTCAATGTAAGTATCGATGAAGTGGACAAGTAGCTCCTTTAGCTGTTGCATAAATGCATATTACCCATTGAGTTAACAATATTGTAAAGTCAAACGTACCTCCGTTTCGGGAACATCCGATGGTAGCTGGGTCAGTTGGTTCTTGAATTGTTTGTAGGCATTGGACACAGACACAGCCAGCGGTCGGCACTTGTGGAGGTGGTCTACGTGGTGCTTCACAGCGGCGTCTAGGCTGCGACCGAACTCCTTCTTGGCGGGCGTCTCAAAGTCGTGGACGACCTGCCGCAGTGCGTGCAGGAAGGCAATGCATCGAGCATTGGACCCGACCACCGTGCGCCTGGCGTACTGGACACCCAAGCGCGCAATGCTCGGATGAACGAGTGGATCGTTGATGAACTGGCTGTCTTCCTTGGCGCACACCAGGTGGTTAAACAGCTTCACCCGGCAGTCTCCATTGGCCGTGCTTGCTGGACATTTGCTGGGATAACTGATTACGGCTGCCTTAGTGGGGGAAACGCTCTCTCGTTTCGATTCCTTGGGAACAGCGGTGGGTGGAGTCTTGCCTGCAGGCTGAGCCTTTTTAGTCTGTCCCTGCGCCTTGGCTGCTCGTTGGGCTTCCTGCAAGGCTCGCCGCTCCGCTTTGCTGAGTGCCGGCTTCTTCTGTGCAAGAGGCGAGAACAACTTCAACTACAAAGCAACAAAAGTTTAAGTTAGGGGGCCATTACCATTTGCTGATTTGCTTCTGTTGCCGAAGGTGCAGCATTGGCTGTAACTTTTTCTGACACTTTCAAGTCAGCCAGCTGTTGTAAGACGCCCTCCACCTTGGCTCCTCCGCTTTTGCCAGCTTTCTTGGCCGCCTTCTTGGCCTCGCGTTCAGCCTTGATCTGCTCGCGTGATCTCTCCCCCTCCTCCGCATCCTTGCCATTTACCGCAGCTGGCTGAGTCGGCTTTAAAGCAGCTGCATCCGCCTTTTTGGTTGTGGTGGTGGTCGTCAGCTTGGTGGTTATGGTCGTCTGCTCCACCTTGGTGATGATTTTGGTGGCCGAAGTAGCGGGAATGGTCGAGACAGTGGTCGGAACAGTGGGAGCGGCAGGGGCGTCGGCAGTAGCAGTCGCAGCATTTTTCAGTTTTTTAGCCTGTTTAGCCAGCTTCTTCGCTTCCCGCTCGGCAATTATCTGGTCACGAGTCTTCTCCGTGGCCACTGCATCCTGCTTTCCGGGCATTGCACTCGCGGCCTCGTTGGCTGAGCTCTCTGGGTGCGTTGGATGGCTGTCTTCCAGGCGATTTCGTTTGTTGCGCGGTCGATTGCGTTGCCTTTGCTTCTTGTGCTTGCTCTTCAACGTCTGGGCGTCAGTCTGCAGATGGGGAATACGGAATTAGTTTTCAATGTGACAACATTTAAGACTATCAAACTGTTTGCATCCAATACGAAATCAAATCGGCAGACATGCTAAATCAAAACCAAATTTTGGTGTATAAGTTGCTAAGACTCAAGCTAGCTACCTGTGGCACCCGTTCGCTAGTTAAAACCATTTTGCAAGCTTGAAAAGAGAAATACATGGCAATTTAGGTGCAAAAGGATGTGAAAGGTTAAAGGTTCAGACTCCTTTGGCGGTGTTATTGAGTTCCAAGCTGGATCTTACGGCTCTTGGTAAGCATGAGGCTGCCTTAAAATGGTTGACAGCTTAAGCAGTGTACTCCCTGTTTTTACCTTACGATCCTTTATAATTATTCAAGAAAAGAGACTTGAAAGTTTTGCTCACGATGGCAAAAAAAACGTCCACCAGCTGATAGTGCTGCAAGTAAATCGATAACCCCTTCGATTGGCAGCGGTAAACACATGGACGGCGTTGCCAGATGTGTCAGTAGGCAATGTCATTTTTGGTTCTTTCCTCGCCGCACAAGTTGGCATTCCCATAGCTGTCTTTTATTTGTGAGGTTCGTATGTCCGCCTGCCGCTGCCGAAAATTACATAATTTTTGCGTAAACTGAATTCGTTTAAATCTACCCGCTGCAGCTGCGAATTCTGCGACTACCATGGCCGACAAAGCTGCTGCCGAGAAACCCGCCGGACGCCCCATGCGCTACCCGTACACCTTCTCCGCGAAGCTAGCCCAATTTCCCCTCAAGTACTACATCAAGAACCAGTGGATCTGGCGCTACTACTTCATTGCGGCCGTGGCCTGCGTGCCCGTGTTCTACAAGATCAGCAAGCTGGGTGCGTAACACTCGCTTAGCGCCCTGTGGGCCCCTATTTATGCATTATTCCCTCTCCACTTTCAGCCAACTCGCCCGAAAACAAGAAGGCATGGGCCGAGTCCCAGGCCAAGGAGCATGCCGAGCACCACTAGGCGGCCAGTAAATTAGTCTTAATTGTCGCAACAACATTTCAGAGCTGTTTGTGTTGGACCTAACGTGAAATCGGCGAATAAATGATTTGAAACCAGGTTAAACTTGATTCTTATTGGAGAGTGCACTCAATACGCAAATACGGTCCTACTATGCAGCTATGACACTACTATAAACTGCCTCTCATGGCTTGTTATTATTGATTTGCTATACGATATACGAACATAGTTTCTTGTCACTATTAAAATCTATAACTAGTATCATTAAATTGGAGTGAGTTACGCCGCCTAGTTTTATTTGATTTTCGGAACTGGTTGGGAACAGAAGTCGAATATTCGATAAGATCGATTACGCTCACTGATTTTGGTAGGGTTAATCAAGAAGCCAAGCAAAAGAAAATATTCAAACGAAAAACAAAAATTAAAGATTTTACGTAAAAGAGCCAAACATAAAAGTAATAAACGCACGAAAACACAGTGAATGAATCACTGTTTACATCCGTTTCTTTTTAGTGGCCATACAAAACTAACATGAACTGTTATCAGCAGTTCAAAATTAGCTTCCGCTTATATAAATTCAAACCCATTTATGCTTTTCCAGCCGCTCCATTACCACGGAAAGATGAAGTTCATCGCAGCAGTACTTGCTCTGCTAGCCTGCTCAATTTATCTGGCTGAAGGAGAAGGAGAATATGGCCAGCTGCTGGACTCCAATTGTGGTCAGACGAAGGAAGAGCTTCGCGGCCGGATCACGGGGGGCAAGAGCACAGACCTGACCTTAAATCCATGGATGGTAAAGGTGGTTGGCCAGGGGACATGTGGTGGCACGCTGATCACCAGTCGTACGTACTCAAATCTGACAAATGAATGAATTGTTCGTCCAGTCACAACCAATATTTTTAGGTTTTGTTCTGACCGCAGCCCACTGCATCGTGAAATCCCACATGTGAGTGTGGCAGCTTAGCCTTTCCCCGGAGATTTTAATATTCCCATTTCCGCAGGAAAGTGTACTTGGGCGAGTACCGTACCCGCTATCCAGGGATGCACAACCGGTCTGATGGCGTCAGCGTGCCAAATAGCTATGCACTCACTGTGGACAAGAAAATTGTGCATGACGGTTATAGGAGCATGTACAAATATGACATCGGTCTGCTGCGCATGACGGACGCGGTCCAGTACTCAGGTAATGACATTGATCCAGCAGCCAGAGCACCTTAAGCATTGGTAATCTCTTTCAGACTATGTCCAGCCGATCTGTCTCCTGGTCAATGGGCACATGCGTGGCAGTCCCGACTACAATATCACCGGTTGGGGTATCACCGACTTTGGCGAGGAAAGCTGGACGCTCCAGGCAGCCCCAGTGTTCAACACCGATCTCAAGTACTGCCGCAAGAAGTTCTGCAAACAGGTGGATACATCGCAGATTTGTGCTGCCAATAATAAGGAAGATGCATGTATGGGGGATTCGGGTGGCCCGCTTAGCGCACAGATGGCTTTTGGCGACAGCTTCAGGACCTTCCAGTACGGAATAGTTAGCTATGGAACTGATACATGCAATTCCTTCAGCGTTTACACCAATGTAACACACTATAGGAAGTGGATAGTGGAGAGCATTGAACACCACAGCGAATCCATCTCGCCTGTAGCTCGTTTTCTTCTCTAAAAAGTATCAAGTCCGCATTGGAGCTTATCTCCAGGAATGTACAAGTCAGGTCAATAATATCTGCATTCGTATGTATAGAAGCGAAGTCTAGCTGCAGCGAGTTAAACGCTATACATAATATATGTATAAGCACAATTTAATTGACCCATTCCCTTATCGGGTGAACCTAGAAGCATGATTTTCTTTGTTTAATAAAAACATCTTCATTCGGCGCGCTATAAAAGGAAATTCCTTCGGTCATTTGCTCATACTTCGCTTAGACATGAAGATCTTCTTGGTGGCAGCGTGTCTTTTTCTTGGACTCTTCGGAAGATCGGCCTCGCTGCTGGAGGAGAACTGTGGAACAGCGCTGCGCAGCTCCAGATTTCGGCGGTTAGTTGGAGGCCATGAAGCCGTGAGCCTAGCGCATCCATGGATGGTTATGGTGCACAGAGATTCCATGTATGTCTGCGGCGGTTCGCTCATCACCTCCCGTACGTAACCCAAAGAAATATACTTGGAATGAGCGATGTGCTTAATGCCTAATGGCCAACCTTTGCAGGTTTTGTGCTGACATCAGCACAATGTCTCAATGCCGGGAAGCCTATGTATGCACACGACTGCTGTATTGCGAGCCCATTTAAAGACTTATTCTTGTAGGAAAGTCCTGCTTGGCGGGCATGACAGGGATTTGCCGCAAACATTCATGGAGGTCATTATCGATCGAATAATCTTACACCCACAGTACGATCCGCATAATCCCTTTAAACCCGGCGACATAGGTCTGCTTCGAATGGAGCGAGAAGTTTCTTTCTCAGGTAACTAAATGGTGACAGGACTACCACAGATCCACTAAGTGACTTATTTGCTCCCAAGACCGCATCAGGCCCATCTGTCTGTCCGTCACTCAGCGCTTGGAGAGAGTTCAGAGCTACACCATCACTGGCTGGGGTACCAAAGGCGACAATGTGCTCGCCCGCATCCTCCAAGAGACCACTTTGCTTGGCGACGATCCTCTACTTTGCAAGAGTGAGACACACTATCAAATCGATCAGTCGCAAATATGCACCAGTGGTCTGAACGGTGATTCGTGCTACGGGGATGCTGGAGGTCCACTGAGCGCGGACCTTTTCTACAATGGAACTAAACGGGTTTTCCTGATGGGAATCCTCAGCTTCGGGAGTTTCGACTGTAAGGGCTATTCGGTGTCCACATATGTGCCGCACTACAGGGACTGGATCAAGGACACAATTAAACAAAATCTCAATTAAAATCATTTAGAGTCCAAATGAATTGAGAAAGATGAGCACTACCTCCTATACTGGTCTTTGGAAAACTGCAATTTAAATATTAATTTACCATTTTTACCAATATTTACCAAAAGAAACAACAAAAGAAAGTTAGTTGAGAACATTGTTATATTTGTACCATATTTACCAAAAGAAACAAAAGAAAGTTAGTTGAGAACATTGTTATATTTGTAACGTGATTAACGCTATCGACTAACATCGACATCGAAGCTGTTATCGTTAGCCCAAATATTCGATAGCCTAAGCCGATTGTGCACACTCTGCCGCGAAGGTATTATTTAAGTGTGCGCCTACGGTCACCCTGCAGAAAACTTTTGTCGTCGCAAAAAAAGTAAGTAGAGTTCAATCGCGCCGCACTTTTCCGGCATTAAATCGAATATGTACGTTGGGTACTCGTGTATATATTCGTATATTTTATGCAAACAAAGAATCGGCTATAAATAGCGGCGCTTTCATTGCGACTGGGCTGGAGAAGTTCAATGCACTCTGCTTTTTAAGCGGACAGCTTTACAGTTACTTCGCATAACTACTTTGCGTAAGGGAGTTTGCCTAATACATTGTATTTACTGTGCTTCTCTTTTGCAGCTTAACTACCTAAGATTCAAACAGCATGTTCGTCGTACGTCGTAGTGCATCCCGCCTGTACCCCGCAGGAGTCCAGTGAGTTTCTACCCACATTTCACACTCGTACATAACTACCTGCTAATTGGCTTACAAGAATTAACAGAGCACACCAGCACTCATTTCTCATTCGCCATATTCAAAGTGTTATGTATACCCCGCACTTACACTTTCCTCAATGTGCGATAAGATAAACAATTTCGATCCCATCAAAATCGCTTTCACCCTGCGCGCATGTGTGTGTGCGGGCTATGCTGACTTCACTGTTGCGTAACTCCTCAAAACCAGAAGATTCTTATTGTTCCCCTCCGTTTTCCGCTCCGCAGGCTGGCCAAGATGAGCGGCAGCCAGGTGGGTGACCTCGGCAGTGGCGCCGGCAAGGGGGGTGGCGGCGGTGGATCCATCCGCGAAGCAGGAGGAGCCTTTGGCAAGCTGGAGGCTGCCCGCGAGGAGGAGTACTTCTACAAGAAGGTGAGTAACCCAGAGACCGACTCATTTTATCATTAGATTTATTGAGCAGCAATAGAAAGCAACTTAGTAGCAGGGCCTGCCGCCGAGCAGCTCCTGAAGCCCGCACTTTTGTATGCGAAAGTTGATCTCCTTGTAGTCAAGACCCGATCCGAAGGCTTTCTGCAGCCGATTCGACAGCACCCACAGTTCCTCCTTGCCGTCGTGATTCCGCACTATCTTCAGGCCGCTGGCGAACTGCAGGCGTTGCTCATCCTCCACCAGCATGACCAGATTCTGATGGCTGTAGCTGGACCGGATGTTCCAAGCCAAAATGCTGGCTGGTTGGACCAGGCCGCAGATCAGGAAGCCGGACTCGCTCATGGCCGCCGCAACGCATTGACTTCCCCGCTTGCCCAGCAACTGGAACTGATCCAAGGCAGCGCTCACATCATTAAGTCGCCAGTTGCTGCCGTTGTTAACCACATCTAGCGGAATGGCCATTTGCCACTCGCTGGAGAGCGAGTGGAAGTACATCATCCGCCGGCCACCCAATCCGTGGGGCGTTATAGTAGTGGACACAGTGCCATCCCACAGCTGGAAGCTCTCGCCTGCTATCGTGAATGTGCCGAAGTCTGGATGGGGATACGTAAACTTGTTCTCAATCCGCCATGACTGCTGGGCTGCCACGTCATACACCACAATGCCATCTCCAATGGAGTCCGCCATGTACACGAATCCCACATCGCAGTTGTGCGGATCCAGCTCCACGGTGGGCGTGACAAAGCGACTTACGCCCTCCTTGTACAATCGCTTGGGCATCTTGTACTGATGCACAACTTTTCCGCTCTCCAAGTCAATGGCGTACAGCTGCGGCGGGCAGTGCTGAATGAAGTCGATCTCCCCGCTGTCCAGGATCCACATGCGCCCGCACTCGTCTATCTGGGTGCGGTAAACCGAAGTCAAGCCATTGCAATCGGCTCCGTGGGATTTGTGCCACTCGTAGCTGGGATAAGCCTGCAGGAGAGTTCCGTTCGGTCGCATTTCGTTTGTGACATAGGCCAGAGAGTATGGAACGCCCTTGGCGAAACGCGGAATGGTCACAAATATCGAGGGCGTGGCATCGCCATCTAAAGGAGAGCAAATAAAGCAAGCGTTTGTGCTGAAAGGGAGAACTCTCACGCTTATAGTAGACGTCCACATCGATTGGGATTACGCTGGCTGGATCGTATAGCCCCTCCCTCAGCGCTCGCTCCCTTTCCTGGGGGGATGGGAACTCCAGCTCCAGATTATAGGCTCCAAAGACACTTTCCAAAGCCTGGCCGGATGCTGCCAGCCACCAGCAACAGCAGACACCGTAGACAATCCAACGCTCCATGCCGTAATCCTTTCACTTTCGCGACAACTGCTCCACTTAAAGACCAAGCGGATACTGCACATGCGCGCCGAACTGCGGGTCCATGTCTTTCTAATCCAGCCAGCCACTCAGCAGGCTAAGCGGGTCAGCTTTTGTAACTGGTTTAATTGCACACCCAAAACACTGTGCACTGAAATTCTGGTCGAGCCATGGCAGATTGTTTACTGTTTACTGGTGTCCACCTCGGAAAACAAGTTGCTGGTGTTGGCTAATTATGCACGCCACCCATTCGGACCGTTTGCTCGGTTCGTCGCCCCATTAAGTGTGATCAGTTATCCAGTCAGTACAATTTAGTTCGCAATCCAGTTCCAATCGTTGCTGCTGCTGCCCAAAACGGTTAAGGTCAGTTGATAGCGGGAAATCAGGTCTAATCTCAAGCCACTGAGGCTTCTACTGGCCTGCGGGACTAGACTGTTGGGAGTACGGACTTGTGGCGATAACAAGCGACCCTGAACTTTGCCACAAATTCATGCCGCAAGAAATTTGAAAATCAAAATAATACAGTAAAGCCTGGGACGAGCCAAACTGATTCATTACGAACTTAATTCGCATTTCCCACAAAACCTTTTATCAAGTAGTCTCCATTTCTTCGAAGGCTTTGAGCTTTCTCAAACCAATTTGATCGTTTTTATGTGCCTTTATATGGCTTTTTGGGCAAGGTTTAATCATTAGGGTAAATTTAAATGTTTCGCAGTCATAAAATGTAAATTTTTCAAGATAATGAATACTTGCGAAATCTTTACAATTCAAGACTGTCTGTTATTAGACGCGGAATTTGCGACGATCCCCCAGTAAAATGCACAACAAAAATAATATTTACATACATCAATTTAGTGGATTTACAAAATCACTGGCTAAACACCAGACGATTGGTTAGATCTTCGTCGTTGGAGAAGAAGACGCCTCCCTGAACATCATCCAACTTGCGGCGCAGAATGCGGAAGTTGACTTCGTTTGAGTTCAGCGTACCTGCGGCGATTTTCTAAGGGAACGATCATCAGTTTATGTAGCAAACTAAAGCCTACTCAACCACAAACCTGGAAACGATTGGAGAGCATCCAGAGTTCCTCCTGCCCCTCTCGATTCCGCACCACCTTCATGCCGCTGACGAACTGAAGCTCATCGGACTTGGCCGGCAGATTACCAAAGTTTCGCGAATTATACGGCACGTTCACGTTCCACACAAAGAGCTTGACGGGATTGAGGGTGACGCAGTAGACGTTATTTCTGTCATCGATGGCAGATGCGGCGCACTCGCTCCGCCGCCTGCCCAGCAGCTTGAACTCCTCCGGCAGAACGTCCGGCCCATTAGCCCAGTTCTCTTGCCGGTTCAAAACCCTCAAAGGCACAGAGTACTCACCTGCACTGGCAAGCGGATGGAAGTACAGATTGCGCTTGTCATTGTTCAGCGCAAACATGCCGTCCATCAGGTAGAAGCTCTCGCCCGCTATGGTGTGCTTGCCGTAATCCGGATCGGGATACATGAAGCGGTTCTCTGCCCGCCAGGATGTCTGCGCCTGGTGGTCATAAACCACCAAGCCATGGTAGCTCACATCGGCCACATAAATCATGGTGCGACTGCAAGTTCCCCTAGGCGGAGGATCCTGGACGAGCACACTTGGTGTGATAAAGAGGGACCCACTTGGGATGTATGTGTTGTTCGCAAAGCGGAAGCGATGCAGCAGGCGATCGGTGGCCAGGTCAAACTGCAGCAACTGCGGCGGACATTGCTGAGTAGTTCCAATTACACCCGAATCAATCACCCACATCTGGTTGCACTCGGTGATCTGGAAGAGATTCAGTGTAGGAAAAGCTCAGCTGTATGACAATTTCGCACTTACAGCCACTCTGAAGGCGGAAGTTATCAGATCGCAGTCCTCGCCGTTGGCATTGTGCCAGGAGTAGTTGGGATACGGTTGCAGCAGAGGGCCATTCCTGCCCTGCGTCGTCGAAACGGTGGCCAACGTGTAGGGAATGCCCGTGACGAATCGTGGAATGGTAGTGAACAGCCTGATCTGGCCATTGGCCATATACTGAGGCTGCACGTCGATGGGAGTGCCGTTCTCGGGCACCAGATTACCCGCCGCCTGCGCGTTCTCCCGATCCTGGGCCGTAGGAAATCCGAACTCCAGCTGGCCCCACTGCGTCAGCGTTTCCACTGTGCGCACGGGACGCGATCCGCTACCGCCGGCGCCATACCCCTGGGCCAGCGAAAAGGCGATCAGCAGTATCCAGAGGGGCACCATTCCGTAGCAGAGTTGGATGCTAAATGTTCTGCTCGAACTAAGGGCAGCTGCTTATCAACCCAGTTGGTTCCTGACGCGCTGATAAGTGCCAGAGAGGCAGGTTGGCTGGCGGAGATCGAGGAGAGTGGAGCGCGGCCTGGCTTTGTCAACTTCTGGACGAACAATTAAGAGCAAGGGTCTGTATTTGCCCAGATGCGGGCTAACGACGCGGAATTATTGAATACGATGACCCCGATCTGACGACACTTTCTTCGACGTCTCACTTCGGTAGCCAACTATCAACTGAAAACAGGCTTGAAGGCCTGAAGACGAGCAGGCAGAACGGCACACAATGCTGGGGTATCGATGCTGATTCAGGTTCATTGGCAGGTGGTTTTCCCCCGATATTTTTCGCACTCTTTACAGACTTCCGTCGACTGTTTGTCTTGGTCACCCAGGCGATATCCGAACTTTTGTCGGCTCGTGTGACGGGTTCGTGCTGAAAGTTGTTAACCAAATATTGGCTCTTATAGTAAGCCTCTTATATGGCTGGCAGCTAATAATGACAGTCCATTATTGCTGGGGATCTTGAAGGGTGGGCGGGCTTAGCTAACCAGCAATTAGCTTTTTACGACTTACTACCACTAATTGTATTCGCACCGGCTAATCGGGAATCCATATTGGTTTGCTTCGTTGCAGCAAAGGGAGCAGCTGGATCGCCTCAAGAACGACCAGATCCACCAGGCTGAGTTCCACCACCAGCAGATCAAGGAGCACGAGGAGGCCATTCAGCGCCACAAGGAGTTCCTCAACAACCTGAACAAGTGAGCGTTGATACACCGGAAGAAGGCGACCGCACAGACGGATGAACTCGAGACATTTACTAAAATGCATTTCACTTTCTTTTGTATGTTCCCAAGTGCTTACTACCTAAAAATGATATGTGTATTTGAATAGTGCGTCAATAAACCATCCATATTTTGAATGCTTTAATCCCAGTGTTAATGTGACGAAAGATTTTAGCTCGTGCTGGAAACAGGTTACTAAAGATTATAGACGTGTATCCCAAGTAATAGCTTCGTTACAGAACCATAAAGTTGCATGGTGTATTTCTTCATAATTGACTCGTCAATAGCCTTATCGTCTTCATTCATTTTCGACTGAAAACCAATTAACTTATAAGGAAAACAAACTATAAGAACATTTTTAAAGAAGACTGTGTTTCAATTATTAACAATTTTAAAATAGAACTTACATGAAAATTCACTTATAAGAACTACTTATTAATTAAAACTTTCTACGTAAACGTATTAAAGATTAAAAATGTTATCCCAAAGTACTACTACTAAATCCAATAGTTAAACATAAGCGACATATTCTTCGTAGAAAAACAAGCTGTAGGGTGCTGAAATAATGTTGTGCTCCTCACAACATGTGGATTCCCCAAATACGAGTGGCTACTTAAAATGCTAAATCATTGCCTAATTAGCAAACTTGACCAGCTTTCATTCAGTTTTTAGCGTGTAAACAGTTCATTATAATAGTATTGTTAGAAAAACTTGAATACCCACCTAGGGACTTTCTACACCTGAAACTTAAACGACGGTCGGCCTTTCAGGTTTCTATAGATTTTTTAAGACCACGAACGCCACCTGTCGAAAATATCTTGAACCGAGGAAGACAGTGAAATAACACGGAATATTTGGTAAAACATGTTTTGTTTATTTATAAGATATTATTAAGTGCGACTCTTTCAGATATTAAATACAAAAGTTAAATTATATATACAAAAAAATATCAACATTTTTCGTCACATTTATGAACTTTATGACCCGCAAGTGCGTTCGTCTCTAGTAAAACCTCCGTTTGTTATCGATAACTCCCGAGTGTATCGGTAGTGTGACCGTTGAATGAACATATGCAGACACGTATTTATTTAGATGTTTTTTAATTACAAATTGCATAGTGCTTAAACCAGGTAGCGCAGCCAGTTGAAAAAGAGCGCAGCAGGCCCCCGAAATGTTTGCCAACCTGAAGAATAAGCTGATCGAGGAGGTGAAGGCGTCGCCATCGAAGTTCCAGCAATTTGCGAATGCTGCACAGGTATTTTTGGGTGCGGGGGCGGGGCGGCTTGTCAATGAAAAATGCAAATTGAGGAAAACATACGCACACAGACACGGAATTGCATATGTGTCGGTGAAGGGGTCCCCAATGGTGCGATTGTGACCCAAATCTGGGTGCACAAATGAAGGGACCAGCTGCTCATGACTCTTCCTTGCCCTTTTTTCCCAGGCCGCCGTGAGCTCATCGTCGAGCACAACACCCAATTCGGAAACGAACACCAGCAACAATGAGAACTTCTTCAGCATCACGGAGGAGGGTAAGTAGTCCATGAGTCACCTGGGGTTCCTTATCTCACATACCACGCATATTTTCACCGAGCAGACACGCCTCAGAACTCGCCTTATCGCATCCAAAAGCTGCCGGCCACAAGTGCATCGGCGCTGCGCGGACGCTCGACCCAATCCCTAAACGGCTCCACCTCCAGGTCGCGCAAGCTCTCCAACTCATCCATGGCCAGCGACGTGTCCTTCCGCCTGCCCACCTATGAAGCGCCAGCTGTAAGTGGTCGAAAAGCAGTCGGAATTACAAATAATTATGCGGTCTACTCCAGGTGTACCACTTGCAATCGGATCTGGATGAGACGAGCAGCGAGTTCGATGACTCCGCCTCAACAGCCAGGCTGGATGTGATCACCAAGGACCAGCTGTACGATGCGTACAAGAAGTCTCTTGATCGTTACCACAAGTACCGCTGTCGGTACACGGATCTGGCCAAAAAGTACAAGGAACTGGAACGTGACAGCTCCAAGGCGCGGGTATCTATTTGCCTATCTAATCGGTCCGATTGATAAGGTTGTGTAACTTATGTTTCCGATAATATCGCTTTGCAGTCTGTGCTGGTGGAGACGCAAGACAAGGCGCTGCGCCGGATCAGCGAGCTGAGGGAGCAGTGCACACTGGAGCAGCAGGCCAAGGCGCATTTGGAGGAGGCGCTGCGTGTTGAGATGGACGACATGAGCTGCAAAATGCAGGCTTATCAGACGAAGCTGCAGCTGCTGGGCGAAAATCCTGAGAATATTACGGCGGCTCTGGAGCGAAGCGGCCAGCAGCTGGAGACGGAACAGCTCATCGACCTGGAGGAGTCGGCCGGAAAGTCGCCGCCATCTGCCAATGGTAGTTCCGGTGTGTCCGACTTACAGAGATTACTTAAAGAGCGAGAAGAGCAGCTGAAAAGTGTGTCCGAAAAATACGAGGCTTTGCGCAAACAAGAGGAGGAGAACGTTCTGCTTTTGGCCCAGACAAAGCAGGCCATCCATACGGAACTGGAGCTGAAGGACACCGAGGTGCGTCAGCTTCAGGAGAAACTCAAGCAGTTGGAATCTCAGCGAGAGTCCCACAACAACGAAGCCAAGGAGCAGTTTAAAAAGCTCCAGGCCACGAAGCAGGAAGTCGATGCCAAACTTATGGCAACAGAGCACCTGCTGAACACACTGAAAGGAAGCTATGCGACCAAGGAGCAGCAGGTGGCCACACTCGAAGCGCAACTAGAAACGATAAAAATGGAAAACGAGCAGAAAATAATAGAACTGCAGCAACAGAACGAGGAAAGAAATAACCAAGAAAGCGATTTGAGCGAGCAACTGAAGAAACTTCAAGCAGCCGTTCAGGATGCAGAGTCTCAGCTTCTGTCCAAGGATCAGCTTTTGGAATCTCTCCGAAGCGAACACGCAGCCAAGGAGAAACAATTGAAGGATCGGGAAGAGCAGTTGGGTAAATTAAAACAAGAAAACGATAAAAACTTGGATAAACTGCGAGAAAACAAGGAAAGTAGCGATTCTCAAACTAACGAAGCACAGGATAAACAAAAGATACTACAAGCAGCCAAGGACGAAACCGAAACGAAGCTTTTAGCCACGGAACACATTTTGCACTCCCTCAAGAATGATTACAAAGCACAGGAAGATCAAGTCGCTACGTTGGAAGATAAGCTAAAAACTCTTTCCAAGGAAAACGAAGTGAATCTGGAAAAATTGCGCCTCATTAATGAACAAAGCGAAGCTCAAAGTACTGATTCCCAGGATAAGATTAATGAACTACGTGCAGCTAAGGACGAAGCCGAAGCAAAACTTCTTTCTACAGAACTCAGTCTGAGCGCCCTTCAGGCCGCACTTTCGGCCAAAGAAGAACAGGCCGCATCCTTGGAACAGAGTTTGAATGCGCTTAAAATCGAAAGTGAGCATAGTTTGCAGGACCTGCGCTTGCACAATGATCAGTTGCTCGAAATTGGCCAGCGCCATCAACAAAACTACTGGGAAGCTCAGCTTGGTCAAGCAAGAGAAGAATTAGCAGCTGTTCAATCGCAACGGGAGCTACATACTCTCGAGCTCGAGAAGAGGCTGGAAATAGAGCGCGAGTCTTTGGCCGCTTTAAGTTCAGAGAAAGTCTCCCAGGAGGAACAGCATAGGCTTAAGCTGGATCAGCTACAGCGAGAGATTCAAGTACTGCAGGATCAGCACACGAACTCGGAGAGCGAAACTGTGGCTGCTCTAAAGGTGCAGTTGGAGGCTCTTAGCCAGGAATTGGCCACCAGCCAGGCCAGTTTGATGGCCAAGGAAAAAGATCTGAAAGCCAGCGGCAACAAGTTGAACAAGATGAAGAAGCAACACGAGCAGCACCAGGCGAAATCAAGCGAGCAAAACGCTCGCCTCGAAGCTCTGCAAAGCGAGTTGGCAGATCGATTGAGTCACTCTCGGCAAGTAGAGAGCGAAAAGGAAGAGTTGCAAGCACGCGTAACCGGAATTCTGGAGGAGATTACCACCATGCAGGCGCAAATGCAACAGGTGCAGGACTCACACAGCGAACTGGAACGGGAAAAGCGCAAACTGGAATCCCGCATCGAGTCACTGCAGCAGCAGCAGGTGGACAGCAGTGCCCAGGACGAAAGGACCTCAGCTAAGCTGGAGGAGATCCAGAGCGAAAACACCAAGCTGGCCGAACGCAACTGTCTGCTGGAGGAGCAGGCGAATCATTTGGAGTCCCAACTGCAAGCAAAACAAGACGAGATCGGCAAGATCCAGGTGAAGCTGCAACAGGTACTGCACGAGCACTCGAAGCTGCAAAATGCCCAGGAACTGATGGATCACGACCATCGGACGCTGCAGGATAAATGCGATGCCTACGAAAAGGATAAGCTGCTGACCGAAGGCACTCTGGACCGCCTGCAAGCGGCCAGTATGGATCTGCAGTCTCTTAATGCCAGTTTAGATCGAGATTTGCAGGAGCAGCAAGAACAACTGCTAGAGCTAAGAATGCGACAAAGGGAACAGGAGCAGCAGCTGAAAGACCAAGCCGAGCGATGCGCGGAATTGGAGGCCCAGAACACTGAAAGTGAGACCCAGCTGCAGGCCACGATCAGCAATCTTCGCGAGCAACTTGATGCTTATAAGCAGACAGAACAGAGCATCCAGGAGAAGTTGCAAGCCACCAATTCGTCCTACACCACGCAAATTGCCTCATTGGAAGCTCGCTGGAGCGCAGCCAATTCCGACGTAGAGCGCCTTCACGAAGCCAATGATGCCCTGCAGTTGGAGATGGAACAGTTGAAGATTAAGCACGGCCAGGAACGCGAGGAAGTGAAGGAGTCCATAGCCCAGAAAAACCGGCAGGTGGTGGAGCTTCAAGAAGCCATGGCTATAAAGGATCGTCAGTTACAGGAGAAGGTTGAGGCCTCAGAAAAATTGGCAAAATTCGATGAGATCCTGATCGAGAACGAGTATTTAAATAAACACACGAAGCAATTGGAGACGGAGTTGGCTGAGAGTGCGGAGCTGAAGGATAAACTGAAATCCCTGCAATGTGAATTGTACGTTCTTCAGGAAAAGGCCGAGCAGCATGCCGCCCAAATGTCCGAAAAGGAAACGCAGAGTGCGACGGCAACGGCAGAGGTGTCCGAACTGAAGAAAGCCATCGAGGAACAGGCAGTAGAGTTGACACGGCAGAAGGAGCACGCAAGCTTTGTCACCCAGCAGAGTGATGCGGTCCAAAAGGATCTTCTTCAAGTCCAGCAGCAGCTTCACGATAAGGAAATCGAATTAACAAAGAGCCAGGATGAACAGTCCAGTCTGCAGGCTGCTGTAGAAGGCCTACAGCAAGAATTGACTACTCTTAAAGACCAGTCATCCGCCTCCACGGACTCCGACAGCCTGCGCAGCCTCAACGAGCGACTGCAGCGGGAACTGGAGGATCTCACACACAAGAGCGCCGGTGCGGAGTCCAATATGCAGCAGGAGATCGAGGAGTTGCAGGCTAACAACCAGCAAATGGCAGAGCGCATCAACGAGCTGGAAACCTTGCGAGCCGGCATACAAGCCCAGCAACTCCTCGCCAGCATGGCGCCCAAAAACGTCCAGGAGGCGGCCGCTGCTGGCGAGAAGGCGGAACTAGAGACTAAACTTAAAGAGATTATGAACGAGGTGCAGGACGTGACGAATCGAAACCTCTTCCTGGAGCAAAAATGCGAGAACTTCCTGATACTCGAACAGTCCAACGAGCGACTTAAGCTGCAGAATGCGAAACTCTCGCGGCAACTGGATGAAACCCTGGTGAGCTTATGGCAGCGGTGCACCCCTTGATTCCATTGCTGATTCGTTCTTTTTGCCGACAGGTATCCATGCAACACAGCGAGGCTGTTCCGGCTAACACGGAATTTGAATACTTGCGCAACATCATGTTCCAGGTAAGCAATCAAACTGGATAATGTCCAAGTAAACACCCCTAATTGGTATCTTCCATTTCTAAGTACCTAACTGGGAACACGAACAACGAGACACTTGTCAAGGTGATATCGGCAGTGCTCAAATTCTCGCCGCAGCAGGCCCAGGTTGCCCTGGAAAAGGAGCATCAGCGGAGATCTCTGGTAGGGACGGCTTTATGAGTTCCATACCACGTCGTTAACTAACTCCATACAAACACTTGCAGCTGAACAAACTGATCTAGCATGAACTGATGGCTCTCTACGGCGGAGACTGGAACTGGGAGCCCTGCCCGGTGACGCTTCTAGATCGGAAATGAAGTCGGTGTGATTGGCCCGAGATCACAAGTACCTTATACCTCACCCTAGCGCATGAGTTGGGTGGTTCCGGCTGATTCTGCAGGCATTTCGAGTAGTAGAAGCGGCGGATGTGTGTGTATACCCCATACTAGATCAATGTTATTGTACAGTCCACGAATGAACTATAGCTACTTCTGTCCAAATCCATGCCAAGCACTTTTGTACATTTTAATTACGCTTTCCTTTGTTTCCGGCATTCACTTGCTTGCGTTTCATGCCCCATGTCCCCCACTTAACCCCAATCTAACCTAAGTGCAATCGTTTTGTGTATTTTAGTTGTAAGTTAAAATTTGTAAAGATCCGCAGCGCAGTTGGCATTTAGTTTAATTCAAAATCTATACAAGTACATACATAAATAAATAGTTGCAATTCATACAAGGGAATCTCTAATCTCTTGGGCCCTTCCCAGTGGCCGCTACGTGACGGAAATGCCTCCTCCGTTCCGCAAAGCATCGCATCATGGCCCGCGTTAACGGATCGAGTTCATAGTTGGGCCTGTAGTCCTTCAGGGCATCTAGAGTGTACTTGAATCCGAATCTCTGCAGACGAAGGCTGGCTTGCACGGCCGCCAGTTGAACTCTAGATCGTGGCACTGCCACGAGAAGGCGCTTCAGGAAGCCCACGAAGGCGGAGATATCTGTATCCAGGGGCAGTGGCTTCAGAACCAAGGAGATGCAGTGCAGCAGACGCACCAGCCGGGCATCGTACGACTTGTTTTGAGTAGCGATATCACAATAACTGGTGGCGAGCGGCATAAGGTGTTCCCCCACCACGCTCTCCACAACTTTAAGATGCGGTGATCGCCGGCAGAAGAGCGCAAAGGCGTAGCCCAACTCCTCCTCACGGCCGGCCTTCAGCTTCCCCACCAGGTTTTCCAAGACCTGCTGTTTGGTGGGCTCAAATGGCTGGAAATGGTACTCAAAGCGCAGCTTGGATAACAGCAGTCGGTCGGCGCCGTTCGGATCCACCATGTCGTACTGCCGGCTCATCAGCAGGTGCTTAATCACTGTGATCAGGGCATCCGAGTGGTCGTACTCCCGCTGTTCGCGGTGGGGAAGCACAGTGGGAAACTGACGCAGCACCTCGAGCACTAGCGGCGGCATATCCCGGTCGAAGTGATACAGAATTTTGGCCAACAGTAGTCTCGCCGGATTCTCGTACCCTGGTGACATAGCCGCCTGCAGAGCAACTGCCTTCAAGTAGAGCCGGACGTAGTTGAGAGCCAGCTCGGTGGCTGGTCGCTCTTTGGTGTTGCGGAATAGACGCTCCTCTAGCTCAGCCAGAAATCTCTGCGCGAAGTTCAAATACTTCAATGCATTCAGCAGACGTTCCACTGGACCATCATCTAAGCCGATCTTGCAGATTACTGTAATCATTGCATTCACGATTACAGCTTCACTCTTGGTCACCTTGTAGATCTCCAAGGCCAAGTCACTGCAGGTGGATTCCAGCTGCATGTTCTCCTGAAGATATTTGCCTATCGAGGCGCACAATTGGGGTTGGGTCTTCCCCAAAGTTTTTCTATTCGCTTTCCTAAGCTTCTCCAGACCCTTGTCCATCTTAAGTACGTGTTGTACGATCGATTCGGGTTGGTCATATTCCCAGTTGCAAGCAGCTTGCTCCAGAGGGATTTCGACGGGTGGAGGGTCAAGCTCGTCCATTGGCTCCGAAGCTGGGGAGGCTGGTGACTCTTCGCTAATTGTACAGGTAACCTTTACAGGATCTAGATTTATATTTGGTTGCCATGCTTTCAGCTCTTCGTGTTCTACTGGCTTCAAATCAGGAGTGAAATCCTTTTTCAAAGACTCCGATCTTGTAAACGCTTGTTTAAGCTGTCTCCTTATTTGTTCTACGAGCGAAATACCCTTTTCTGGGCAGGATTTCTGTTCGTTCAGCAGTTGTTTCGCTCTCTGGCGAGTCAAACGAACTTCCGTCGAGGGCGAAGAAGTTTTCATCTCACTTTGCGTTCTCCTTCGTTTTGCGACTACGGGAACAGGCGAAGGTGGTTCCTCAGGCTGCCTAATACGGATTTGTTCGTCGATAACTAGACCGTCCTCATCCTCGGATTCATCCGTTGAGTTTGGCGTGGCACAAGTACTTGCGTGCTGCGCGTTGTTTAAAGCTTTAACTATTGGATCCGGGGTTTCCACGAGCAAAGGCTGCTTTAAGGTTACTAAGTTAGCTTTAGCTACTAACAGTTCCTCGTATGATTCTGCGGGAGCACCAGCAGATGACTTCGGTTCCGATTCGTTCTCTTCTGGCTTTCCATCTGCTTTGATAAGAGCAGCTTCCAACGCACGTTCCTCGTTTTCTTCTGATTCTGATTCGCTGCCGAAGAAGGGACTATTCTTTCGGTTCTTGGTGTTGCTTTGCTCATCCGCAGGTCTGCACTCCTCTTCGCTTTCATCAAAACTGGCTTCCGAATCACTTAGCTCGGGAGCCATCTGCTCTACACTGCATTCGGATTCCACATCAGAATCACTACCGAATAGGCACATCATTGAAGTCGGTAACAATTCGCCATCGTTTTTGTTTAACAAGCTTTTAGGCTCTTTGCAGGGAATTAACTCCATGACTGTTTCATCATTTAGGTTTTCAATTGAAAATCTCTCCGAATTTGAGACACTATTAAGCAGGTGCGAATCGAAGTCTTCTGATGCATTCGCCTCAATTTCGTTTGGTTCAATTGAGGAGTCTACCGTTGACATTGCATCTTTATTTGGAGCCAATTCTGTTAGGCTCCCAATACTTTCTTTTATTTCAAACGTTTTTTTATGCAACAGTTCTTCAGTTTCATCAAGTAGGAGGCATTGTTGCTCGTCATTTTCTTTCAAAGACGATTCTGTTTCCCTTTCGACTGCAGGCAAATGATTTTGATCCTTATTTTCTGACAGCAGGAAATTAGAATTCTGAGCAGGAGTATTTTCTTCATTTTCTTTCATTTCCGCGTTGGACGTCAGTTGAAGCAAATAAAGTTCTTCCTCGTCCAGTTTCATTTCGAGATTATCACAGTTGGCCATGTTAAAAGATTCCAAATTGCTTAAGAATTGGATTGCCGTTTCCGGCTTTTGTTCACGCTCTACTTCTAACGTATTGTTTATTTCCAGATGTACTGTCTCCATCTCCAGACAGCTTCGCTTGGCTATCGACTTCGATCTGATAGACGCTTTGCGCTTCTTGGATTTCCGCTTTCGTTCTTTGGGCTGGGAGGGCAGGCGAATTGGCGTGATATGTCCTCCGTGGCTGATGTTTGGCGACTTAATGATAGGATCCGTTCCAGCATCCATGCACTCTGTGCTAGTGGCGAAATCTAAAGTGAATGTGGACGTAATTATTGCACTTGCTGATGCGTTTTGAATGGGTTTACCTCTCTTGCTGGTGCTTCCACTGGAGGTGTGCTTCGTCTGGTTCTGCGTGCCCTCAACGAGCTCATACAAACAGCTGGTGAAATCCGCCTGGCTGACGCTTGGTGGCGTGGCCATGGACGGATTAGTGCGCCTCTGCAGCAGGGTTAGCACCATTTGGCCAAAGACCTGCCACAGCTCCTCGAAGGCCTGCGGCGGCAGATTGGTCAGGCAGCTTTGGTTTTCAGGTAGAAAGTTCAGCAGCTCCTTGGCGAGCTCCCTGGAGGACCTAGCCTCCTCCTTCACACTATCCAGCATTGTTCGTGAGGGCGGCCTTGAGGCAGACACCTTGATTTGTGTCGGCAGGTCGGCAATGAAGTCTATCTCGCGGTGTATACCACACAGTGTGGTGCAGGTCGACACACTCGCTTTGGCTGGTATGTCCTCTAACTCTAACTCCTGCTGCGGATCGCTCTGCGGGCTCATGGGTTCAATAACATCATTCCGCCACGATAGCATTTCATCAAGTATCTGCCGGATATTTGGCGGGGGCTTGGGCTCGGGAAAGCAGGTGCCCACATCGTGCTGTTTGATGAAGGAGGCTGTAGTGGTTCCTCGGGTTGTGGTGGTGTTTTTGTGCTGCGTGCCCTGGTTGCGGGTCTCTATCAGACCTTCCACCTGCACAGCAACGGAACAAAGTACGGGCTTGGCCTTAGGGGGTTCCTCGTCGGTTTGCGTGGATTGGTTGACTGCGGGCTGATGCCCTTTCCGTTTGCTTCGCGGATTGGGACTCTTTGGCGTGGGCACACTTACGTCTATCGTTTTGCAGTGCTCCTTTAGCTTCTTCATGATGTTCTGATCCCTCCGCAAGAGCCCACAATCGTCGCCCAGTCGCTGGGCCAACTGCATGAGTATGGACAGCACATCCTTGGCATCCACGGGCAGTCCGCGATCCTGCAACTGCACCTGCAGATTTTCGCAGTTCCCAACCTGTGCGTCCAACTCATTTTCCAGCTGTGCGCATCGCTCGCCGATCTTCTTGGCGCTCTTCTCCAGCTCGATCCTCTGCTGCTTCTCCTTGTGGTACAGATCCGTCACCTCTTGGGCGGTGCGCTGCAGGTCCACCAGCTGTTTGTTTTGGGCCTGGAGCTGTTTCACCTGGCAGATCAGCTCGTCGGTCTGGGCTATCCGCTCGGCCAGCCGGCTTCGCATATCGCGCACATCCTGGTTGATCCTGGGCAGCGGTCCCTGCTTGTACGGCGCCACCATAACATCTTGCAACGGCGCATTTGTGCCCAGAAGGTGATCTATATTGAAGTCCGAGAACTCGTCCGAATTCATGTTCCCGCAGACTTGTTGTTGCTGGATTTCACGTGGTTGCGTTTTCAAGCGCCACAGCGATTCTAAACCATGCAGAAAGCAGTGAAAGATCTCATTTTCAACACATTTCGCTAGTCGGGCTCTCGTTGGACAATATTCCGCTTTGAATCTGGCGATTTAATACACAAAACAGGGAAATAAAACAAAATCCGCGTTTTCCTCTGCAGCCGGTCACCAAAACATTTTCCTTCACTGAGTTATCGTTAAGATATTATCGATATACGTGTGGTATTTTTTTATGGCACTCAGATAGCTCGTTCTTGCTACTGCGTTTTAGGTCGTTCACACTTCAATCACAATAACAGCTTCTACTGACAATCTTAAGTTTAAATTGTTTTTAGGAGAAGTTAATTCTGAACTGCTGATACATCTTAGACTTTGTGTGTCCATTGTGTCATTGCTTTTCCTATGGGTTGTATTTCTTTTTACTCACAATCTTGGGAAAAAAACTTAGAGAAAAAAATCCAATTAATTTCCAAGTATTAATAAGTATAATTTTTAAAAATAAGCCATAAATGATCCTAACTTGTGATAATTGTCTTGCGCAAACTACTAAACTGAGACAATCTTATTTTTTGCTAAGATTTAACTTACAAAATGTTCTTCCGCATGGCTTGTTGAATACCCCTACCAAATGCAGTAAGTGCAATCGATTTCAGTTCCATCCCTAGCAGTTGAGGAAAATAAATAAAACTACCAGACTATAGACGGTTTTACTGAAAAAGACAAGATTTAAGCACACAACATGGCCGATGTAGATGACGGGTCTGAGCTGCTGTTCTTCGACACTTTCTCGCACGAGGAAGTGACGGTAAGAGCCCAAATAAACCTCTACGCGAAGCATTCGCTAACCCCCACTACCGTCTCCTCTTAGGACATTAATTTGGATTTGGTGCAGTTTCCCAAGCCGGTCTTCATCACACAGGTGCGAATCATTCCCCTGGGCGCCCGAGTCCAGGCGGACTTTCCCGGCGGCGTTCGCCTGGGCGCCACCAATCCCTCAAAGTTCGATCTAGAGTTCTTCGTCAACGACCTGGGAATGCCGGCTGCGTCGGCATTCGAGAACCTCGGCCTGCTGCGGTACAACCAAAACGACTGCATTCACCTGGACTGCTCGCAGGAGAAGATCGTCACCGACGGCCTGGTGCTGCGTGGCTGGTACAGCACCATCACACTGGCCATCTACGGCATCTTCACCAACTCGGTGACGGAGCCAATTGCCAGTCCGACGCTGCCCTGCGAGCCCGTGGGCCCGGAGATAACCAACCTGAGTGGCGAGGTGCTCCTCCAGGAGGATGTGCTGAAGGACGAGTGGCAGGAGCCGATGCAGGCGGAACTGTTGAACGCTCACAAGGGCAATGTCAGCGATTACGATCCGGAGGACATGGAATACGGCATGTCGCGGGATCATTACCACCAGCACGCCGAGGAGCAAGAGCAGCGAGAGATGCGACGACTGCGTCGGTCCACGCACTCCACGGATCACTCACCGCCACCGCCCAGAAGATCACACACGCATTCAGAGAGCAACGACAGGGAGTACATCAGGTGGTAAGTGGTTAACTTTTCTATATATTAAATTCAAACTTATCACAATCCTTTCATTGCAGTTCGCGCGACAAGGGCTCTAGGGATTGGTCGCGTTCACCGGAATACTCCAGCCATCGGTCGCGTCGAAAGCGCTCGGAGAGATCTCGCTCCGATGTGGACGAGCACAAGTGGCCCAGAACCCCGCCTGCATCGATTGACTCACCGACACGTCCGCGTTCGCCCGACACGATGGACTACGATGACGAGGACTCGCGTTCCCACTACAAGATGCAGTCATCGCACTACAGGCACTCCTCTGAGTCACTGCACCGTGGTGATCGGGATCGGGACGATGAGGACCGATCATGCACGCCGCAAGAGCAGTTTGAGCCCATTCTCAGTGACGACGAGATCATCGGCGACGACGAGGAGGACGATGCAGTTGATGCGGCTGCCATTGCGGAGTACGAGCGGGAGTTGGAGGCAGCTGCTGTCGCTGCTCCTCCAGCCATCGATGCTTTCGAGCCATGGCAGAAGCCACTGTTGGTCTTTGAAGGCGACATGTCTGCCCACTTCAGCAAGGAGCTGGAAACTCTAAAGCTGCTCTTTAAGAAGTTGGTCCTGCAAACCCGTTGTGAGAATGTTGCTGCCTTCAGCGAGGAACATGGCGCTAGTGTAGACGAACGGGAACAATTTGTGTACTTGGGTGAGCAACTGAACAATCAGTTGGGTTACTTAGCCCAGCACTACAAAAGGAGGAACTTTGTCCTGCAGCAGTTTTTCGGAAACGATGAGGTACATCTTCGTCAGGCAGCTAATGTGATGCAGATTGCCCTGAGTTTCCAGGCGGCATGCATGCAGCCACAGCCTGCTTTTAAGATCCGTCATATAAAGCTGGGTGCCCGAATGGCTGAACTTCTGGGCAGTAGCGAGGATCTCTTTCAGCACCTGTTGAAAGAACACAAATTTGATACCTTCGATGCGGTATTCCAGCTGTATCACGAACCGTACATGGCACTGTCCATTAAGCTTCAGCTTCTCAAAGCCGTGTACGCCTTGCTGGACACCAGGATGGGCATCGAACACTTTATGGGAGCGAAAAATAACGGCTATCAGATGATTGTGGAAGCCATCAAGGCAGCCAAGCTGACAAGGACGAAGTACGCACTGCAGGCGATAATAAAGAAACTACATTTGTGGGAGGGCCTGGAGAGCATACAGATTTGGTGCCGTCGTCTCTTTGTGGATCGAATAATCATACCTGGTAATCGCGAACAAATGGAGGACACAGTGATAACTTGCCAGCAAATAGAGTTTACCTTCGAGATGTTGATGGATGCATTGTTTTCCAGCCAACTGAGTTACTTGCAGCCGCGCCGTTTCCTACCCGTGTCCAAGAAATTCGAGGTGGTATCCGATCCCACGGCGCAGCGCAGCTTCGGAAATGCCCTTCAATCCTACTTGGGACAAAACTCACTGGCGGAATCTCTGCTGGTCATGTTGGGAAACTGCAAGGAGTTACCGGCCACGACGTATCTAAGCATGCTGGATTTGATGCATACCCTTTTGCGCTCGCATGTCGGCATCGATTACTTCGTGGATGATGCTTTTCCTGTAACGCAGACGATTGTGGCCATACTGCTGGGCCTAGATGAGGTACCTCGGAACCCAGAGGAAAAGGAGGAAAAGCCAGAGAAGTCGGATCTAGAGGACAAGGTAATGGAGGTCGAAAATGAAGCTGTGGAGGCTGCAGGCGAGAAGCCACCAACGGCAGACGAGGAGGGCAAGCCAGTTCCTCCCTCGATTCCCGTTTCTGCTCCAGCTGCTGCTCCCCAAGTGCGACCCAGGCCGATCCTTCGACCAGTGCTGCCACGCCTTGCCAGATTGGGTATTGAAATGTCGTACAAGGTGCAGACACGGTACCACCTGGATGCCATTACCTACGCTGCCGCGGCTCCCGAATACGATGCCGTCAAGTTGGCCACTCATATGCATGCCATTTACTCGCAAACCTGCGATCCCGCTGGACGGCAGCACACCGTGGAGGTGCTGGGCTTGAATAACAATCTGAAGATCTTCATGGATCTGATCAAGAAGGAGCAGCGCCTTCAGACGCAACGCCAGCTGAGCTCACCGGGCATGAAGTACAAGAGCCCGGTGCTGAGCTATGCCGTGGACATGGTGGACGCTTGTGTTCGCTACTGCGAGCAGCTGGACTACCTGATCGAACATGGGGGTGTGATCCTGGAGCTGGCCAAGAACCACGAGACCTTCGAGCCCTCGGTGTCGGCCGTCTTGCAGGAGATGTACGTGTACATGAAGCCGCTAGAGGCTATTAATGTGTTCGTATATGATGACATAATGCCGCTGGTGGAGGTGATAGGCCGCTCTCTGGATTACCTGACCACATTTCCTGGAGACCTGATTATGGCCCTGCGGATTTTGCGATATCTCTCCATAAGCAAACCGATTGCAGGTCAAAAAGCTCCTCCAGTGACCGAGGAGCTGAAACATAGGTTTGTGGCCCTGCAGCTGTACGCGGCGGATGGTGTCCAGCTTTGTATCCAGATCATGGAGCGATTATGCGCATACTTCGAGCAGCCGGGTGCACATGCTCCCGCCCTAATGACCATCCAGGGAGTCCACTGCTGTCAGATCATGCTGCCCACGCTGCAGATCCTCCGGGAACTGCTCTCGTACGCGATCCTGTGCAGAGATGGCACCTACAAAGACCTCACCGCCATAGATCACCTGGTGAAAGTGTACTATTTGCTCTACTACTTTCCCACGCGCTGTCAGGCGGGCCTCGAGGTGGAACAATGCAAGATGGAGGTGGTCCAGACCCTTCTGGCCTACACCCAGCCGAATGAACAAGACGAGGAGTCGCTGCACAAGTCACTTTGGACCCTGATGATCAGAGAGGTGCTAAAAAATGTCGATGGACCCGCGCACTTCATTCCTGGTAAGTTAGACTATGAAGAATATGAACACCATCTAATAACTTCTTTCGTACAGGACTGAAGCTTTTGGCGGAGCTACTTCCACTCCCGCTGCCGATGCCCCAGCCCCTTTGCGACCAGTTGCAGCAACAGCACAAGCAGCGTCTAATCACTGAGCGGAAACTGTGGTCCGCGCACTTGCATCCCCAGAGCGGACAGATCGCCAAGCTGGTGGAGGCACTTGCTCCGTCCAGTTTTCCACAGCTGTCCGAACTACTGCAGCGAGTGTGCATGCAACTGTCCGACTTGGCACCCAACATGACCCTGCTGATCGCCAAGACGATCACGGAATTGCTGTGTAATGAGTACCAGACATCCAACTGCATTCCGACCACCAACCTGGAACGGCTGCTTCGTTTCTCCACTCGCTTGTGTGCTTTTGCCCCTTTGAAGAGTTCAATGCTGTCGATTCTTTCCGGAAAGTTCTGGGAACTCTTTCAGTCGCTGCTGGCACTGAACGAGTTTAACGACGTGGTTTCCAATTGCCAAGAGGCTGTCCATCGCATTCTGGACAGTTTCCTAGACTCCGGTATTTCGCTGATCTCGCACAAGAGTACGGCTTCGCCCGCGTTGAATCTGGCTGCCGCACTGCCACCCAAGGAACTCATTCCGCGAATCATCGATGCAGTCTTTAGTAACTTGACAAGCGTGGAGGTAACCCATGGAATATCAATTCTTGCGGTGCGCAATCTGGTCATCCTCACGGAGCACGAGTAAGTTCTGGGTACGACTGCGGTTTTAATGGTCATAATAATAATATTATCTATAACGCCAGCTTCACCTTTTACCATCTGGCTCAGTTGCTGAAGCAGAAGATCACAGAGTTCCAGGCGTGGATGGAGCGTGTGATCCTTCACAACGAAACTGTGGAGTACAATGCCAACATCGAATCTCTGATCCTACTGCTGCGCTCTCTGACCCAAATTGAGCCGCCGCCCACCATGTCGGCCATGCCACACCGCACTCTGAAACTGGGGGCCACAGAGCTCGCCCAGCTGGTGGAGTTTCAGGACATTGAGCTGGCCAAGCCACCGGTGCTCAGCCGCATTCTCACCGTAATGGAGAAGCATAAGGCAGTGGCCAATGAGGCGGCGCTGAGCGACCTTAAGCAACTGATACTGCTGCAGGCCTCCAAGCAGGAGATTCTCGCCGGGATCAGTACGGAGACGCCACCAGAAGCTGAGGGAGAAGCCAATCCATCGGCCAGCAGCTGCAGTGGCTCTCTGACCGTGGAACCCTATCTGCCGCAGGCCGAGGGCATTGTCACACAGTACGAGGCGCGTCCGATCTTTACGCGATTCTGTGCCACAGCCGAGAATGCCCAACTTACGGCTCGCTACTGGTTGGACCCGCTGCCCATAGAACTGATCGAAGACATGAACGAGCCGATCTACGAGCGCATCGCCTGCGATCTCACGGATTTGGCAAACGTGTGCCTCAATCCGGACTTGAATGTGGCTGGTGATAGCAAGCGGGTCATGAATTTATCCGGCTCGCCCCAATCCAATCGGGAGATGACGCCAACGGCGCCTTGTTTCCGCACGCGCCGCGTGGAAGTGGAACCCGCGACTGGTCGGCCCGAAAAGAAAATGTTTGTTTCATCAGTTAGGGGTCGTGGCTTTGCGCGGCCACCACCTTCCAGGGGAGATCTGTTCCGATCCCGGCCGCCCAACACCTCAAGGCCGCCATCCCTACACGTGGATGACTTCCTGGCCTTGGAAACTTGTGGCGCCCAGCCCACAGGACCCACCGGCTACAACAAGATACCCTCCATGCTGAGAGGCTCCCGGGTGGGACGCAACCGGGGATCTCGCATCTCGGCAGCAGCGGCCTTCAGGTAAAGTGCACAATTACCACTTTGTGGGCTGAATCTAATGGGCTACTTTACTTATCCAACAGGCAGAAGAAGCTAATGCGCATTGGTTCGCCCTCCAGCTGGGCAGAGTCTTCCGGATCCTATCGGTCTGCCTCGGACGCCCACTTTAGCAGCAGCGATTCGCACTATTCCTCGCCCCACTACAGTGGACGGCCGCGTGGACGAGGCCTGCGCTCCAGGCCATCCTACATGAGATAGGAGGACGTTGATCCTAAGAACCAGATGGATGCTGGCTGGGCAGTTTGAATTCCATTACTTAATAAACGTGCTGATTGTGCTGATTTTGTATTAGTTCGTTGTATTTTCCCACTTTGTATGTAAGCTCAAAGTTAATGTTCCGTAATTACACTGTGCAAACGGACGTCGTGCGACTCCATGGGCAGCTCCTCGTTGTTGACTATCTGCTCGTTGAGCGACAGCGCCATCAGCGAGATCTTCTTGTGCGGATACTTCTCCGCGTGCTGCTTGAGGAACTTGTCATAGTAGCCCATTCCATGGCCCATCCGAGCTCCACAGCGGGTGAAGGCCACTCCCGGCACGATGAAGAGATCGATGCCGTGCCCTGCGGCAAAGGAGTATATCTTTAGAAGGAGCCCTGGGGTGGTTCTAGAAACTCACCATTGGTCATGGCATCTTCGCGCGCCTCCTTGAAGTCCGGCTGCTTGATGTTCCACTTGGTCAGGGGCAGGCTCTCGTACTCGTCCATGCCGCGCAGTCGCACCATCTTCATCCTGCTGCCCTCGTAGGTGGGCACGAATACCATCTTCTCCAGGCGGAACATCTCCGAAAGCAGCGCCGTGGTGTCCAGCTCGGAGGTGGTGCTCAGGTAAATGCTCACCCGCTGCGCATGCCGGAAGATCTCGCTTTGCAGCACCTGTGCCGATCGAGCCGATTGCAGATTAGTGATAACCTAAAGGTTATCCAGCCAAACGTTACCTTGGCCGTGACGGCCTGGGATTGCCGGGCGATAGCCTCCGGGTCGATGCTCTTCAGTGCATCCTTTATGCGCTTTCGCAGCGCCACCTTCAGGCTGTTTTGGATCGTGGCCGCCATTCCCGCTGCTGGATCATCCACTGCACACTCGTGCGAACCGGTGCGAACTGTTTCCATCTGCCTGCCCGGTCCAGGCATCATTAGGTTGCCACTCCGCTGCCCGTTATCAGCTGCGCTTACACTGCGCTGTTATCAGTCGGCTGCTCCGCTTCGGAGCCCTGTTCGTAAACAAATGGAAGTGCAGCGATCTGGGGAAAGTTCGGGCTTCCAGTGAGTGACCCTAGAGGCGCTCAGCTGATCAGGGATGGGAGTTATCATGCAACCCATACCAAACGAGTGTTCAAATGAACTTAATGCCTGCGCTATATTTGGAGTACCATTCCCATTAAATACAATTCAGTAATAGTTAAGCTACTGGAGTTCCAGACTCCTAGTTGGGCTCACTTCTTGGGAGCCTCTGGTGCCTTGGGTTCCGTCTTGGCCTTCAGGTTCTTCAGCTGCTCCTTTTGCTGCAGTGAAACTTGGGAGCCTTAGCTTCTGTGCAAATTACTATATTAGGATGACCTTACCTGCTTATGGAAGAACTCCTCCTCGCGAGCAGCCTCCATTTTGCCAAAGGATCCGCCTGCCTCCCGAATGGATCCTCCGCCACCGCCACCCTTGCCGGCTCCACTGCCCAGTTCTCCGATCTGCGACATTTTCAAGTGCCTGCAATGCGATTCGAAAGCGGTTCTAGAATCTTACGCAACTCCGCTCTAATTCGCGAAACCTACTGAATCTGCTTGGGATACCAGCGCTGACTGAATCGGCGCAGTGTAAACATGTTTGTCTTTATAGGATCGGTTTATGTAGTATAGTTAAGCTATATATAAGAGATGAGTTGTCGCTGCGATTTCGCCGACTTGTGAAAACAAACTGCTGAAAATTGGACATGAGCGCGGCTAAAAATACTCAGTGGGGACGGAAATAGAAACAATCACTTCTTGGGGGCAAAAAACTTCAACTTTAATTAACACACCCAAATAGGTTTCATTTATTTCACTGTTCCTAAAAAAACGAATAAATCTGGTTAAGCTATGTAACTAACAATTTTATTGAGCCCGTGCCATGTGGATAAGTTTGATGATGATACGCCTGAAGGAATGAGTGGATGGCAATTAACATAAACAATTAACTATTTGGTGTTCTGTGGATCTGAGTTATGTTCCAGTTCTGTGGCATTATTGAGGCCTTTGGGGTCTTCTAGAGCACGGTCGTGTAATACTTTGATATCGTCTGCGGTCTGAAAGTAAGGATAGTGTATTCGGAATTGAAAAGCTCATTCATAGCTACCTCGTTCAGGAAAAAGGCCTCCTCGAGCACATTCTTGTGCTTGTTCATGGAGGAGGTGCTGCCCAGAGAGGCGTGGTCCAGGGTCTTCTGGAACTCATCCCAGTTGGGCATGTAGTCGCCGGGGTCCTTCTTGTCCCGCATCTTGTCCATGAGGTTATGGGTTAGTGAAATGAAGTACTCCTCCTCCTTCAGGCCGCCCTGCAGCTTGCCGAGTCCGCCACCCCACAGGAAAACACTAGGGGTCTTCTTTTCCTCTGAGTAGAGTTTCTTGGGCGCCCAGCCGAGTCTTTGGGGATTTCGGATTGGGAGTTATCGGAACGAGGGAGAGAGAGAGGGATAGGCAAACGCAACTCACTTTTGAGTAAGACCGACGCTCAGTCTCCGCTGCAATATTCCGGCACAAAACATTTTTGCACATGAGAGTATGGAACTCATACGAAGAATTACAGATTTTTCGAAAAAGCTGATGAAATTACAGGATATCGACGGCTGAGTCTAGACTGATAGCTTCAGATGGAATATGACACGGTTGCTTTCTAAAATATTTGGCTTTGATATCCGACCAACGAAACGAGACATTTTATTGATGCCGACTATTTATTAATATTTATTGTATCATCGTATTAAGTGAAACAACGGGCTCTGCAAGTTTGTTTTATATTTTTTATTTCTAAATGCATTTTTACTTTATCTCGCTATGATCGCTATGATCGCCATGATTTAGTATATTTCTAGCATTGGATAGTTAGAAATTATTCGAGATGGTGGCCATAGATGGTAACTAACTGGCTTTTAGATTTCAGTCTTGCTTCATAAAATTTCATATTTCATATTTGAAAAAACGTTGGAAAATGGTTATCTGGCAACTCTGCGCGTAGTGTGACCACATTTGGTTGAGCCGATATAGGGTGTGGTATTTGCAGCTACGCACCGCACGCCACACCAATCCCATTGTTTTGTTTTGTCGGCCGATTTCAGCCGTATATATATCTGCGTATATATCGCTCGATTCCGGCTGAAGTACGCACTATGGCCTTCCTGTACCTACTGGGCTGGGTCTCGATGGGCATACAGATCGTGTTCCTGACCCTATCAATTGGTGAGCTGGCGCCTCTTAGTTGGACTTGCCCAATTGCAACGTCTGCAATTGTTTTTTTCTAGTGGCTGGTCTGTATTATCTGGCGGAATTGGCCGAGGAGTACACGACGGCGGCGAGGAAGTGCATCCTCTTCCTGATCAGCTTCACAATCTTCGTCTACATCCTGCTGATGCTGTTCGAGGACCTGCCGTGGAGCCTCATAATCTGCGGACTGGTGGCGCAGGGCTTCCACCTGGGGATCATGGGTGGATTCCCCTTCGTGCGCCTGCTCTCGCTGCCGCTGCTGGGCTCCTTGGCCATGCTGGTGGCCAATCACTTCCTGGCCTTCCAGCACTTCACTTCCGTCTACGTGCCTTTCACGCAGGTGAGCCTATTACCTTATTCGCTACGTATATAATATTTCTTGGTCTTGCTTCGCTGTATTCATGTTTTTGGCTCTTGCATCACATTGCTGAAAAACATAATATATTGCTATGATATAAAGTGCATTGTATTGCATTGCTTATCTACCTCATCATATGTACCACTTCATCTGAGCCCCGGAAAACGCGTACTCTTCAGAGCTAAAGTTCATTTTGTACTTACAGGTGCTGGCTTACTTCACAATCTGCCTGTGGATCGTGCCCTTCGCCCTGTTCGTCTCGCTGAGTGCGAATGACAGTGTCCTGCCCACCACCGTCAGCGATCAGAGCCGGCGCAGTCCGGATGTGGTCAGCAATTACTTCTCGCGGAACAAGAAGCAGGGCCTGCTGTCCCTGTTCCAGTATCTGAAAGAGGCCCTGCTCCCTGGGCGGACCAAGAAGGCCTTCTAGGCGTAGTTTATTTAATGTTTATTTATTATTTTTGTGGCAGCAATCGAGACAAAAGTATACAAAGCGCATGTGAACTACGTTTATGCATTGACATTCGTCACCGACTTATTTGTAGTGGAAACCATCGAGTTTAGGGCTAAAAGACAGATTATTGAAATGATATGTCGTTATCTATATGTGCGTGATTTCAGTTTTATAGGTCACCTTTTGGGGGACTTTTGACGAATTTCGAGTTTGTACTTGCATTGAAGAAGCTGAATAAATCACTACATGAAACACATATCATGCACATATTATTAAAATCATCGTTTGTGTTGGGTTATAAATCAATATGTATTTAAATTCTTTGCAAATGGCAAACATTAAATTTAAGGAACAGCTTGGTGAAAGATAAATGCAAAAGCGCTCCCCCAACTCCGCCCAAGGAACCCTTACTCAAATGCTTCTGCAACTACTTATTCTGGACCTTGACCTGGCCATCGGCCATGCCGTAGTAGCACTTGGTGGCCATGTTGACGAACAGACCCGTCTCCAGAACGCCCGGGATCAGGGTGATGGCGCGGTTGACCTCGTCCCAGTCGTACTCCCGGTTGGCGATGAACTTCCAGTCCAGCAGGAAGTTGCCATTATCCGTGACGATGGGTCCCGCCTTCACCTTGGCCATCCGTAGAGAGGCCTCCCCGCCGAAGAGCGCCTCGATGTGCAGCTTGATGGGCACGTACGCCATGGGGGCCACCTCGATGGGCACTCCGCGGCACCACTGCTCCCCCAGACGGATGGAGTTCTTTGTGTAATCGGCCACCACGATGAAGTTCTTGGCGCAGGAGGCCACCACCTTCTCCTGCAGCAAACAGCCGCCGCCTCCCTTGATGAGCACCATGTGTCGGTCGACCTCGTCGGCCCCGTCGATGGCCACGTCTATGTTGGGATTCCTGTCCAGATCGCCCAGGTTGAGGTTATAGTCGAGGATCAGATGGCGCGCCTGGTAGGACGAGGGCACACAGATGAGGTCCGTCAGCTCACCCTCCTTCCACACGCGCTCCGCGATCCGCTGCACGGCGAACACCACGGTGGACCCACTGCCTATCCCCAGAATCTTCGTGTCCTCCGTTACCCACTGATCCACCGCCGTGCGGGCCGCCGTCTTCTTGGCCGCGTCCAAAGCAATGTCTTCCATCCTGCGAACCTGGGAGTGTAATGCCGCTGCGCTGCGTAAGAGATCTTCGCCGAGATGCTGGGTGAACCGTGCTGGTTGGACGCCTCGACGCAATAACCCAGATAACATGTGGTTAACAGCTTCGGTTTCAATCGCAACTTCAATGTCACAGAGATCAAGCCGGCGACTGTGGGATTTGTGGTGTGGCGCTAGGGATTTCCCGCCGTTGCGCTGGCCAGGTTAACAGAGCTGTTAACAGCGCGCGAGCTGTTAGCTTTTCGAATTGCTATGCGTAAAATAGTTAAATATTTTGATCCGCTACTCAAAGCATCAATGGTTGCTAGGTTGAAATCCAAGTTGGATATTAAAAGCAGTTCAGTAGCTTGCGCATTTTGCTTAGTTTATATCGATATATGTAAATATTACATTAAGTGATTGTAATGTAATTACATTACATTGACCGTGACAAACATTTGAAAAACTTATTCTTCTTTTCACTGAAAAAAATGGATAAACCATAGTTCTTAGTTTACTGTTAAATGGTAAACTTATAGATTTTCGCGGTCTTCAGACGCGAGGGTCCAGAAATAAGCTGGACAAATCGTATGTCACTATCTTGGGGGCAAAGAAGCCGCCGTAGCCGGGGCGTCCTTGTAGTAGATTCCCAGCCCGGCCAGCGGCACCGCCTGTTGGGGTACCACCTCCTGCACGTCCACGAAGGGCAAGGTGTTCTGGGCCGCATCCTTCAGTTGGCTGGAGCTGACGAACTCCATGTACTGGTTGGAAAAAAATTGTATTAAAATGAATTTCCTAAAAATAAATAAATATTATTACGGAAGCAAAACACAGTGCTATGAAAATGTGTCTTTCAAACCAAATCTTTGACCACAAAAATACCAAAAATCCTGTGCGATTTCAAAGTGACTTGCACTCGGTCAAAATGGAAAGAGTTGTATACATACACATATATGTACAAACACACATGTACCGAGAATATTTGAGGAAATTTAATACTTTTAGTGCACAAAGCGAAAACTGTTGAATGCCGGGCGATAGAGCTGAAAAGCAGAACACAATCACAAAGGTGATTGCAATTTTCCTCTAGCCAGGCAGCGGCGGAAAAGCTGGAAAGCTGGAGAGCTGGAAAACCGGAACATAAGAGCCACGTGAATGGTCTGACCAAGACATAAAGATATGGAAAATGGAAAATGGAAAAAGGAAAAAGGAGGGGGAGGTGAAAAGATAGTGGGCCAAAGAATTTGTGTTAATGGATTTCACTTTTTAAGAAATAAATTACTATCTCCGGCCGGAGGGGAGAATCCGCAAACAAAGTCCCAAGCAGTTTGCATGATTGGATGGGATTTCGAGTCATTAGCAAAAAAGATGCCGCTCAAAGGCAGCCGGAATGCAGGAATGTGGGATAATCCCCAGATGGGGATTACAAGGTGCTCAAGGGGGGAAAGTCCTGCATCGACAGCTGCCACAACCAAATCGCCCAGTGGAATCGCCGCACATGAAGCTCTATTATTGCAAGTGGGCGTGCCACAAAAGCCGCCCAAAGTAAACACCAATTAACAGCAACACAGAGGGCTCAGCAAAAAATCGGCGAACACGGCAAATGCAAATTGTTAATTAAAGAAATGGGCATTGTTTAATGCGACCCATGTTCCCAATTGTTCCGGGCCAACACCTGAACCCGCCTCCTATGCATTCACTTACTCCTTCCCCACCTCGCTGCCCTCCTCCCTTGCTCGTGGAAAAACATTATACATGAATTAAACACCATATACTCGTACATCTGCATGTACATGTAGGAAGGCCCTTCTTTGGTGCCTGAATCTGGGGATACCCTCTACTTTGTGTGGTAGCCAAGCACTTCCATTTAAGAACGAGTTCCTTTGGGTAATGAGTGAAATGTTTGAATGAAGTGAAGTAAGCTCCGAATGCAAATGCACTGTGCCTCCATTTCAGGAACTGGAGGCCTGCAGACACAATCGATTATATTATTTTAGCAGCCTGCCGCATCGAAGACATTTTCGCCATTTCCAGAGGAGGAGAGGGTGCGCAAATGCAGAAAGGGTCCGAGGAGTGCAAATGGACCGACCCAGCTGCACTTGGCCCGCGACATCCATTATGGTGGCGCCACAGCACCTCGAATGGGAGCAGAAAAAGTGCCGCAGATGCATGCGGTGGGAGAAAAGTGGGGAAAAGTGCAGAAAAATGCAGGATGGCTTTGCCTTTGTGCGAGTTATGATTGCCCGGGCTGATGATGACAATGTCGACTCCTGGGGGCCATGGATGGCATCGAACGACTTTCCAATGGGCACGATTTATAATTTGATTAGCGCATCGCTGACTGCACACGGAAAAGAAAATCACGCTCAAAAGTCAGGCGGGAAGTGCAGCCGAGTGCACTGAGCGAAACCGGCTGAGCCCGAGCGCCGCCTCTTATCTCATCTATTGCGAAATGGAGCGGCCATCACACTCCGTTAGCTGACAATGACAAATGATGATGGAGGAGCGGTCGCAGGACCGATTCAAGCCCGAAATGAATCCCAACTGAAGTGAGCAAAAAGCCTGCCGTTCGCTTTAGGCTTTCGGCTTTCAATTAATCCGGCCAAGTGGCCTGCCGCCATAATCAGTTGTGTTTTGTTGCCCGCAAGACAAAAAAGCGGGTGAGGCCCACATTCCCGAAAAAACACGATCCGCCCAAAGGGTTTTATCTCGAAACAAAGGCGCCGAAATTTGCCTGCCATTCACTAAACAATGAACAGCACATCCAGCTGGGGGCGTGGCCCTCTGCCCGGGAAATAGATTAATGGCCGCAGACAAGGCCCACCGAATCAATTTATTACGCGGCCGACAGTTGACCGCATGGCCAGGGAAAACGCATAAATAAATAAATTTTAAAAGAATTGCGGTGGGCTCTCGAATCTTCTAGACAATCGGAACAATTCTGTAAAGTAGGAATCCTGAACAACATTTTCCTCCGATTTTACACAAAGGCATATTTTTGAAGTCCGATTAACGTAAGGATTTAATTCTTACACATGCGAGTGCAACAAAATACCAGGTCATCGCATCGTTTAGGCCTAAAACTTGGCTTTGGAGCACTCGAAGGGAGTGCAGCAGGGATAGCAATCCGGCGCCTTGATGCAGCTCAGCCCGAACCGGGACAACTCGGCGGCCTCCCAGGCGCGATCCTCGTTAAAGAGCTCCATCATCCGCTGGCGCCTGGCGCCCGTGATCAGCTTGTCCGCCGTGTTCATTTCCACGCTCATGGGCTTCACCAGGAAGTTCACGATGGAGTTCCCGGACGGTGTCTTCAGAAGGTCGCGATTGTTGAGCAGTGAGAGGCTAAGGCGAGGGTAAGGGTAATCAGGTGATCAAAGTGCTAATCCCTCTGGATTTCGCTTACAAGTCCCCGGATTTCTTCATCTTGCCGACTTGCTCGACTGAGTAGCACACAAAGCAGCGTGCCTAATGTGAGGTGATTGAAACACTAATGTAACCCAGCCGACAGCCTTCTCCGCGCCAGGTTCGATTCCCAAATTAGTTTCCCACCTAGTCGAAGTCCCAGGACTGCCGGACGAGATGGAAATTGGGCGGAGTGCTTCGCCTGACTGACACCCAACACCATTTGCCACTCATGGAAGGTCAATCAGGCGACGCAGGAGGAGCTGTTGCGCATCCGGGGTGAACGGAATATCCACATCCGATAACAAGAGCGCTATTAACTCCGGGGCCTGAGTGCAGATGTACGTAAACTTGCATTTCGGATTGCTGACTAGGTGCTTTGGGCTTAAATGCGAATAAATTGATCCATCCTTAACATAATGCCGAGTGCAGAGGAGTAGCTCATTAGGATGCCCAAGAGTAGGCTGTAAAAGGGTGTTGAAATCCTTTGTAGATGTCTTGAAATCGGTTTCAAAATAAGGATTGCAGTCATACTATGAGTAGCAGTTTAAAAAGAATGGACATGGGATGCCTTGAATGTTATCATATTAAGCCACTGTCATACAGAAGACTTCAATTAGCCCAGTGTCCATTCGGTTGTCTTCTTATTGCCTGTCTGTCACTTACTCGACGGCTCCCTGCCCACTTAAGCCACAAACAATCGCACAAACGATAAACAGACTAAGTAGTGGCGGGGTGGGGATGGCGCCAACAAAGAAAGCAGATTGCAAAACAAGGCAAGACCCCCCTGGCCCCCAGAATAACTACAGTCCGGCTGCCCCACCCATTTCCCAGACATAAAGTCAGGTTCAAAATTGGGGCGGTGGGGCGGTAAACAGTCAGGTGTGTAATTGCAATCCGAATTGGTCAAGTGTAACAATGCAAAGACGCAGCTTCCATCTCACACCTGCTGCTGCCGAACGGGGAATCAATTTGATCCTTGAACTTAGGCAACAAGCCGAATCTGAATCTGCAACTTGCAACTTGCAACCTGCTGGCAATGGGATCCAGCCCTCCGCTCCACGCCCATCCACTCCCTCCCCAGGGAACGAAATCAAATTGCAAATTGCATCCGAATGTCACGTGCATCGACACATTTTTCGGAGCCAACTGTCTGAGGGTTCCTTTGGCCCGAAAACCGAGCTGAGTTGTCGTGACATGGTCGACATGGGCAAAGGTTATTGCAATCGCCGCCAGAGCAATCAGTGGACACCAGACACGAATGGATGCCACCAAAGCCGTGGCTAGAGGTGCTCTCAGGTGCAGAATCTTGGAGGGCGTGAGAAAGTAGCTAACTCATGTAAGATACACATTGAAGCCTAAGCCACAGCTGAATTATATATTATACTTTCTATGAGGTATGTCCAAATGAATTCTAGAAAATTCACAAACTCCCTTAAAAAATGGTAAACTCTACATTCTAAAAGAAGTATCTATTCATAGTGTAAGAACGCCAGAGATTTTGTAAAACAGTCGAACGGGCAGCACTCGTTTGCGCGAAGGACTCGCCGTCTGCACCTGCAACATGCTGCACTCTTTATCCCAAAGGAGCAGCGGGCGGGGGGCGTGGCCTGGGGCCGGGAGGAGCGGGTGGCCGCCCCGTTCATTATGTTGACCACGCTGTCGCATTTGCTACGTGACATTGTGCTAACTGCCCTGAAAATGGAGCCAGACCTCATCTCGCACGGCCCATTGTCGGCCAGCTTATGACCCCATGGCCAGATCAACGCTCCGAGCACCCTGAGTTTACTTAAAATAGGTAATAACTCAATAAAGCGGACGGCATAGGAAGCAGCAGAGTTTGGAAAACATTTTTGAAGGTGTCTGAAACTAAATTCGTTGTATGTTACTTCCAGTTAACTTAGAAAATGATTTCAAAATAATATGCGTGCTCTTTGGCATTTTCCTAGAACTGTGGGTTCTATATGTTTTAGTTTGGATTTATATTTATATTTTATTTTTAAAAATATTTTGACGAAAAAGGGTAAATTAAGTTTGAGCATGTGCAAGTGTTTGCGAAAAGCTTGTTACCCCTCCTTCCGATTGATGCCGTTTTGGAAAACCATGCCGATAAATGTGACACCCCAGCTCAGAATTAGATTGCAGTTAGTGAACAGCCACTGCCAGGTCAACCTAATCCATTCGCATCCTCGTCAGCTAGTAATATGCCCATTGGGTACGTGATTGCTGCGATTCCCATTCAGTGGGTCCACTGCATCACTGCATCACTGCGCCACCTTGACCGCCTGGGAGACTTGGCCAAATTGACTTGGGCTCGCAGCCTTTGTCTTGCAATTTGAGCTCCCACTAACTGCCCTCGATGCCCGTGATGGGTGCAGCTCTTCCTGCTGCCAAATTCATCCAATTGCATTGCCATTACACTATACAAAGTTATGGCAATCTCTCCCCGGAGAATCATCGCCAGCGGAGCGCCAGGAAACAATGCGGGGCGTATCCTCGGATTGAAACTATCGAGATTGCCCGCTTCGAATTGCAAGTAAATAAAGCGTCTGGGAAGCAACACCTCCGGCACATCCGCGCACAATCCTTGCATCCTTGCAGAAGGAGCCGTGGCTGGAGCAGGAGTTGAGTTATGAACGTGCTGGGAGCAACAAAGCGAGCGAACACAACACCCGCAATCCAGGAGCAGGAACTCAAAGTGGGTAGCCCGGCAAAGTAAATGTGCAAACATTTATTTATGTGGCCTGCCATGGAGCACTTTAAAGCTCTGCAATCGCCCTGATTTCGGGTGGGGATTGCCGCTGGTTTATGTGGACTCCTCGCACTGGACTTGGCAAAACAAATGATTTGTGAAGGAGTACTGCAGAAACTGCGGCACCCCAAGAATGCTACTTTTAATATTATGTAGGTTGGCCGTAACAAAGAAGTTATTGATTTACCAGAATTCAGCGTGCATCAAAACAATTTACTATCAAATTTAAGCAGATTAAACACTTTCATACACTAATTAAAAGGGAACCTTTAACTGATTTACACAGTTACCTATCAGTAGCCAAATTCAGTAGAGTGATCCAAACTACACGTAGCTGTTTGAAATACGGAATACGGATACGGAATGGCAGTAAATGGGAAGCATCATTGTTTGGCACATATTTGGTTTGTTCCTGCAGTCGCATTTCAATTTTAATGAGCACTTGAGAGTTTCATGTTTTTGGCCGTCACTTTAATTAACAACAAAAGTCATGGTCTCCTCCTGGCCCGGCCAACAAAGAGGGAACAAAGCGAGGGAAAGCTTAATTTGTACGAGCAAGGGAGGCGAAATAAAAAGACACATGAGGCCCGGAAAATTTCAAATGGAACTGCTGGCAGTGCTTCCTTCGCCTCCAAGGAACATGGGCCACATAAAAAGTCGTCGGCAAGTAGTTTTCACTCCCTGGCCCCGGAAAATGTGTTGTTTTCACATTCGCATTTTCCCTCTTTTTTGGGGCCATGGGTGCGGGCTACGGATATAAATACGACTACGGGCAAAGGGCCATGGTTGCCGAAGTTGCTGCTGTTGGCGTTAAAAAAGCGGAAAATCTCAGCACATTTTTGCTTTTTAATTAAGCCCTCAATTTTTTATGTTCCATTCGAAAGCGACACGCCGTGATTTCCCAGCCCCTTGGATGCGGATGGGGCATCCTTGGACTCCTGCTGCAAGTTGATAGTTAACTCTTACACCATCTGGCTAAAAGCTCGCAGCTTGACAAATTATCGAAATTGTACTCCGCGGTTTAAATGAAAGGCTGCCTGTAGTTGCAGATCCAAATTGTGGCAAGTGCAGCTAGAATCATGTACTGGCAAAAAGGGTACTCCATTTTATTCATACGACTTAATGACCTACACTTCCCAGCAACTAATTGTGGGTTTCTCGCGTTTTTAGTAACTCGAAGCAATTTGAAAATCACAGTGATAGTCAAACTCTCCACACCTTTCCATGCCATAAATATGCCAGCGTGCCCGCCCAGCGGATCAGTTTACTGCGGACCGGAGTCGAGCGACGATCGGTGGATTGTGGGCTTAGAGTAATGCTAATGCGAGGGATCGATGAACCGGAGAACAGCACGTGACTGAAATTGCTTGAGTGCTGCAACAACACCAGGTGACACCACCTTCAGAACGGAGAATTGTGGGCTACTACCTCTGGCGAACCGGTTTCAGAAAGTCAATAACGCGAAGGTTCAGTGTTTTGGGACTGAAGCTGATCAGCTTGAAGCGGTGCACCTTGTAGGAGTCCACCAGCCAGCCACTCTCCTGATCCTCACGCTCAATATCCCGAGGATCCTGCGGATCCAACTGGCTGTGTCCCAGTTCCTTGGAGAAGGTGAGTACTAGTTCGGCGATCGCCAGGCGGCAGTTGTTCGGTTCGAACTGATCATCGATCCGGGAATCCACCAGAACGCTCTGAATCCGCTGGAGCATTTCCTCCCTTTCCTGCTCGGTCCCGAGATCGAGCAGGTTGCGCAGGCCGACGAAGAGCATGTCCACCAGGACGTAATAGCGACCATCGATCCAGCGACGTACCACCCTCAGGGGCAGAGCATGACGCAGGTGTTCCCTTTGGAAGCGAACCAAACTCCAGTAGGGACTCCTCATCTGGGACAAGCCGTAGATATCGGCCGATCCCCGCTCCGTGCAGCAACTCCGGATGCAGGGCCAGTCCGCTTGGCGCACTGCCTCGATCATGGTGACCGCCGCCTGGCGAGTGCCCTCCTGGAATCCGCCCTCGTCGAAGGCCACGCCCAACAGGCGCCGCAGACGCCACAGGCAGTATCGGTGTCGCAGGCCACTGAGCAACTGCATCACGCCGAGCTTCCAGCGGAGCCGACTCCCTGTTAAATGACCTATGTTGCGGTGTGGCTGAAGTGCTGTGGAGCAGAGCGATTGCAATGTGTTTGACTTACAGCCGCCACCCCGCACTAAACACATAATTTGGGAGGTGGACGAACCACGGAAACACCTCGAATACATATTCCAAACAAATCACTGTTGTCTAAATAATTTGGGAAACTAAGATTAAATTAGTAAAGGCATCTCAGTCCCACTTCCTAAGTGGGCTTACTCAAAGTAATCCTACAAGATTGCTAGTTTCTTAAGCCTATAATCTTAAGGATTAATACCCTCTTAAGGAATCCAAACCAATCCGTAGTATCTTTTTCCTTCATAGCATCTCATCATGGGGCAGGTTCAGCCAAGTCTCTGGATCTTCTTGGCTTTGATGGTTTCGTCCATCAGAGCTGCCTACGAGGATTATCGCTTGCCCAGATCCGTGGAACCTCTGCACTACAACCTGCGGATTCTCACACACCTAAGTAACACCGATCAAAGATTCGAGGGATCTGTTAAAATAGATCTTCTGGCACGGGAGACCACCAAGAATATCACCTTACACGCCGCGTACTTGGAGATAGATGAGAATCGAACATCAGTTGCTTGTGGCCAGGAAAAGCTCGGAGTCAATCGCATTGAAGTTAGTGAGGTGCATAACTTCTACATCCTGCACTTGGGTCGGGAACTGGAAAAGGATCAGATCTACCAGCTGGAAATGCACTTTAAGGCTGGCCTGAATGACTCCCAAAGTGGCTACTACAAAAGTAACTACACGGATGTAATTACCAAGGAAGTTCAGTGAGTTATCTTATCTTCACATTTCATGGGTCAAATGAATAACCTTTGTGGTGCCTCAGTCAGCTGGCAGTCACCCAGTTCTCACCCACTTTTGCCAGGCAGGCATTTCCCTGCTTCGATGAACCATCCTGGAAGGCCACCTTTAACATCACCCTGGGCTATCATAGGAACTACACGGGATTGAGCGGCATGCCTGTTCTCGGTTGTCAAGATCAGTAAGTATGGAATATAGGACTATTATAAAGGACTCTATCTGTCATTATTATTATTTTTATGCCAGTGATAGCCTCACAGATTATGTATGGTGCGATCACGATACACTTTTGAGGACCTCTACTTATTTAGTAGCCTTTGCTGTCCATGATCTGGAAAATGCCGCCACCGAGGAGAGCGAGACCAGCAACAGAGTGATCTTTCGCAACTGGATGCAGCCGAAGTTGGTGGGTCAGGAAATGATATCCATGGAAATGGCTCCGAAGCTGCTATCCTTCTACGAGAATTTGTTCCAAATTAACTTTCCGCTGGCGAAAGTCGATCAACTGACGGTGCCCACTCACAGATTTACGGCAATGGAGAACTGGGGTCTGGTGACCTACAATGAGGAGAGATTACCCCAAAACCAGGGTGATTATCCGCAGAAGCAGAAGGATAGCACTGCCTTCACGGTGGCCCACGAATATGCCCATCAGTGGTTCGGAAATTTGGTCACCATGCAGTGGTGGAACGATCTCTGGTTGAAGGAGGGTCCGTCTACCTACTTTGGCTACCTGGCACTCGATGCTTTGGAGCCCGAGCGGTCAAGAGGAGAGCGCTTTATATCGGCGGATTTGGCGAAATTCTTTAGCCAGGACTCGAATGGAACTGTGCCTGCTATCTCCAAGGACGTAAAGGATCCTGCCGAGGTTCTCGGCCAATTCACGGAGTATGTGTACGAGAAGGGATCGCTGACCATCCGCATGCTGCACAAACTTGTCGGAGAGGACGCCTTCCTCCAGGGAATTCGCTCTTTTTTGGGGCGCTACTCCTTCACAAATGTGGCCCAAGCTGATCTCTGGAGTGCCCTCGAAAAGGCTGCTCTGAATAACGAGATTGTTTCCTCCGACTTCAATCTAAGTAGAGCCATGGATTCTTGGACCCTGCAGGGCGGCTATCCCTTGGTAACCCTCACTCGGAACTACAAAACTGGCGAGGTAACCCTCAATCAGAGCAGGTTCTTGCAGGGGCAGCAGATCGAAGAGGACTCATCCTGCTGGTGGGTTCCTTTGAGGTTTGTCAGGCAAAAGCTACCCGACTTTGATCAGACTACCCCACAGTTCTGGTTGGAGTGTCCCCTGAACACAAAAGTTCTGCAGTTGCCCGATCTGCCATCTCCTGACGAGTGGCTCTTACTGAACCCCCAAGTAGCCACCATCTTCAGAGTTAACTACGATGAACACAACTGGCGCTTGATAATAGAAAGCCTGAGGAATGAGCCCAATTCTGGTGGTATCCACAAGCTGAACCGAGCTCAGTTGCTGGATGATCTCATGGCTTTGGCTGCAGTCAAGGTACATAAATATGACAAAGCTTTTGATTTGCTGGAATATCTGGCGAAGGAGCAGGACTTTCTGCCTTGGCAGAGGGCCATTGGTATCCTCAATCGCCTAGGAGCATTACTGCACGTGGAGGAGGCAAATACATTTAAGGTGAGCTCAATTGGAGGTTTTTTATTTGTTATTTAAACGCAATTTCTGTTACAGAACTACATGCAGAAGCTACTTTTGCCATTGTATAACCGCTTTCCAAAGCTATCAGGGATAGCAGCATCTAGTGCCGCCATCAAGGACATTCCATTTGCCCACTTTGCATATTCACAGGCTTGTCGCTACCACGTGGCTGATTGCACGAATCAGGCCAGGACACTGGCCATAACCCATAGACATGGAGGTCAATTGCAATCCGATTTCCAAAAGGTAGCATACTGCTCGCTGCTGGATGAAGGCGGTGATGCGGAGTTCCAGGAGGTATTTGAACTGTTCCAGAACTCCACCAATGGATCTCAGAGAAGGATATTGGCATCTGCCCTCGGTTGCATTCGTAACTTTGGGAACTTCGAGCAGTTTCTGAACTATACACTGCAATCCAAGGAGAAACTGCTGAGTGATTGCTATATGTTAGGCGTGAAATCTGCCCTAAATAGGGAACATTTGGTTTCTGCCACAGAAAACTATATTTTCAGCCATGCCAAGACACTGGGGTAAGCCACAAATAGTTTAGCACTACATATAACCCATTAACAAACCCTTATTTGTAGTGAGAAATTCAAGAAGAAGGAGCTCACGGGACTTTTGCTCAGTTTGGCTAGGAATCTTCAGAGTTCGGAGCAAGTTGATCGACTTGAAGCGCATTTAAAAGACCTCAAGGAGTTTGAAGAACCTCTCCAGAAAGCGCTTCATCAGGGCAAAATGAACCAGAAATGGCAGACAGATTGCTCCAGCGATTTTATCGACGCTATGGAGAAACACTTATAAGCAGCTTCCCACTTAAAGTTCAGTTTTACCTTTCTTGATTTTTAATAAATCATTGAGTGACATTTACTTTTCTGCTTTTCCAAAAGTAGATACACTTTTAAGCACGTTTCCCACAATTCAGCAATCTTTCTCATATCTTGGTCATAATTTAGTTTAATTAGTACCCCACTTTTGAGCAACTTTCAAGGCTGCCACCTGTGTCAACCTATTCTGGCCAAGACTCTGCGGGCTGTCAGGCTCCACGTTCTGGGTATTAATTAAGCCAATGGCGATGAAATCTTGGAGCCAGCACTGAAAGGAATGCGATTTGGGTGGCAGGTCAGGGCAGGACAGGTCAGGGCAAAGGCTCAAGGAGGTTGGCTGTCAGAAACGGGTCCTGTCACGACTTTGACTGGTGGATTGCCTGACACGGGACACACACCGACACCATTCGGCCATGCAGCAGCTCCTTTGTTTTGGCGGAGCGGCTTGGTCCTTTCTGGCATTTGACGTTTACACGGGTACGTCAAAATATGTACTTCTCACTGCCACTGCCACTGCCTCTGCCACCGCCACATTCACATCCGCATCCGCATCCGCCGATGATGACATGTGGAAAGAACATGGAAATGGCGGCCCGGCATTAGGTTGTCCCTTTGTTCGCCGCTTCCAGCTGTTTGTCATCCAAAAGGACTGGGAATAGGAGTAGGACTCGGGATCCGCAACTAGCTGCCAATTAGATAAATTAATCGTCTGTAATTGATGTGCCGTGGGCCAAGTGGATTGCATTGCAAAAGTGAGACTGAGGGCGTCAATCAGGCGAAAGTATCTGTCAACTGCAACCAATTTGATGGCTTATTCAGTCGTGTATGATGCTCTCTTGCAGCTCCCAAGCATCACGGATTATGCTATTTGTTTGTTGACTCCTTGGACAAACAATAAGGAATATTTAGCAGGACTGGCTGTCAATCGCCCGGAGATGATGAAAGCTAATCCGATTGAGAGTTAAGCACGTTGTTGCATGCTAAATTGAAATTAAAACAATTAATAGAAAATACTTCGGGGGAAGATGGCCTATTCAGTTCGGATGCATAGCAAACGGAAAATATATTCATGTTGGAATTGGAAAAAGGACAAAGTAAATGGCTCAATAAAATTTTTTGTTACTTCACGAGCCACGAAAAAATGGCCGCCAATTTATGGACAGTACGGTTTATTGGAGTTACAATTGCGCTGAATCAATCATCTGATGACCTATGGGTCAGCATGGAAACCAGCATGTGCTGCCTTATAATATATTTGCTGGGAAATGCATACATAAATGCGAATGCAAATGAAAAGTGGCCCTGTCAGAAAAATTAACGCTATTAATGCTTGTTAAAAGCGGTTATTAAATTAATTAAATGCGATGCCCAGCTTGACGTGCGTGTAGAACAGAAAAAGAACAGAAACAGACATATTTCATGTTAAATATTTACGGCGAACATCGGAATTTAGCGCTGCTCTTAACTTATTTATTTATCACAAATTAATTGAATCCGAGCGCCGACAGAGGGAAACTGCGATCGAAATGTCAAATTAAGTGTCCTCAAAGAGCTGTGGAATGTGCCATCCAATTAAATGCGGGCAGCATCTAAAGACATTTTTTCGTGCCCCATTGTTCTTTCCTGAATCGGAAATATTTATCCTCATTTTAAAATGAACGAGTTTTAATTCGGCATTGAAGAGTTGAAGCTGCGTTGGCCGCTGCAAGTTATATGCTTTCCAATCCGAAATGGATAAGGATGTACATATATCTCGAGGCCAAGAAATCTGAGACGAAAGTGTGTGCCTGGCTGAGTTCCTGAGGCCTGGGGATAGTTCTGAATTTAAGCTGGCACATACGCGTAACCTGCATGCAATAGTCGCATCCTTCGGATGCGGCAGTTTGGCACACAATCATGTTGTGAACCCTAATTAATATGCATTCAGTGTCTGGCAGGGCAGGGATCAAATTATGTAATAGCCGCATTCAAATTAAATTTCTCGATGCGTGCCGTGTGGGAGTTCGCCTGCGAATGCATATCGAATATACATATGGATTTGGACTTGGGCTTCTGTTCACGTGGCGGTGACGGAGGCGGGGAGCGCCATTCGCTGTCCATTGGAAAATGGAAAATGGAAAATGGTCTAATTGCCCCTAATTGAATAGGAGAAGCTTTCGACCAACGGCCACCGCGTTGCCCCTTCAAGAGGACAAATTATTTGCGTGTAGCTGCAATTGCAATTCAATTGGAGTGTTTAGATTATCAATTCAAGGCTTCGATTGTCGATTATGCTCTGTGGCGGGCAATCGGGTCAATTGCTACTCCCAAGAAGTTGTAAAAGTGATTACTATTGTGTTTGGCACAAGGCGCTTCACAAATTGATGGCCTTTGGTTTTATCACGCTTCTAAATGCTTTCCGTTGCTCTCGATAGATTCGTTCGATTCGAACGATAACGATTTTTTCGATATATATATGAAACAGTAATAGGGCTTAAATGGCTTGCATTTGTTTTATGTGCGCGCTATTGACGGGCTTACAAAAGCTTCGTTCCTTGGAAAGAAGCCTTTCATAACTTCCTGAATACATCACTTTTGAATCCATTTTAAAGACCCCAATACAGCTTGGAGCCTTTTCATTGCACTGACCTTTTCACCTGGCAAGTTTTCTTTGAAATTAAGTCCGTGACTGGGGAAATATATTTCAATTAGTGCACTTTTTTGCTGTGGAAGCTTTGTAGCTTCATTGTTCTTGGGCTCTCCGATTTTCCATTTTCCATTTTCGTGCTGTGCAGCTTGTTTGTTTGCTTTCGATGGGAGATGTCGATGCTTTTTATTGTCTAACTTGTGTATTACATTTTGTTGATGTCGTAAATTAAGGCAGATCGGTTAGGTGGGTGGCATTGTTCGTTGTTTTAATGCCGCCAAGGGAAAATAAATTCATTAAAAACTTTTGGCCAATGTGAAAATCCTTTCTATTGACTTTGGCCGGTTTGTTCGGTGGTTGCGTGTGCAAATATTTATGCAAATATGCACTGGCTAGCATGTTTTGATTGTGCGGGGTCTGTTGCATATTCACAATCCGAATTGAATCGATTTGCTGACCAAATGCGAGTGTTGCAGCCCACCGCCGCCCGCCGACCGCTCTTGTCTTCTCATAATCAGAGTGAAAACTTTTCTTACTTCACTTTACATTTATTGCTTCCTTCCCCGGGCCTCGGTGCTTTTGTTTGAGTTCTGTTGAATTCTGGGCGAAAGAAATAGAACGTGAAAACTATTCCTTGCTGGCGCCTTCAGGCTGCGAGACATTCAAGAAAGTTGCCACAAAAGTGGGAACGGGACCAGAAGCCCAAAAACTTCCCCTTGTCCGGCCAACAGAGAGAAGCGGACGGACGGACGGACGGACAGAGCCGGAGGGAAAGGAGAGGGACACAGAGATGGCAACTTACAAATTTAGATTACGAGGCAAGCACAATTGCCACACATGTTTGCACAAATGCTGGCAGGATTGTTTAATTTCGTTTAATTAAATTGCAAATATTTTATTGCTGCACTTGCAACAGAAATTCGCCTTGTAGAGTTTAAATTCGTGTGGCGCCATCTGGCACAGGCAACTGGCACTAGAAACTGTGTGTGCTTCCATCTGTGAGTGCGTAAAAGCATTAGTAAGTACTTTAAAGTTTCGGGTACTTGCGATAGTAAGTTATTGGAGTTAATATTAAGACCGAGATTTATGAGATTTGTTCTACAAGGAATTAGAGTAATAATTTTAGCTAAGCCGAGGTGGGTTTTTTGCCATTTAGGTCTAAATACTCGGAACACTGTACCTTTGTCTTGGCTGAGCAACTGAACAGAAGTGTTTTCAGTATTTTATTCACTTGAGCGGGTAATTGCTGTGATGGTTAATTTCCATTAAATCGATAAGCAATCATCGAAATGGAATCACTCGACACCTCAATAAATATTGAGAGTGTCAGCCACTTGATGCTAATGCAAATTCGACTCGCCTAAGTCATGTAACCCATGTCCATGTCCAATAATTCACTTGACCACCTCAACGAGCACTAGATTGGCCCCACTTTGAGTGGGTTGTGACCTTGGCAGTGCAAAACGGCAAGCACTCAGGACAACATTGGCAACAAAAACAGCATTGAGTGGCCGAGAAGGAGTGGCATCGAGTTCCCCACTCCTCGGATCACGTTCTCCTCCTTTTTGCAACCACTTTCTACTGCTCCTCTACGTGTTTCTTTTAAGTGCTCCTTATAGTTGATTCCGTTGTTATTGTCGAGTTTCTGTTTACCCCCGAAGACAACACAAGTAAAGCGTCTGAGGAAAAACACTTTTAGCACGCATCGAAGGAAAACCAATAGAGGCAACAGCCAGGCTCCAAAGTCCGAGCACATGAACTGGAAGACCACCCCTTCCCCTTTCCCCACCTGCCTTCAGGACAGACTAGAATGGAAAGCCATGATATCCACACATTTGGGTCGATGAGGGACGCTGATTGATTTAATTTGTTGGCCCCAACAAACTTAAAACCCCTAATTAAGTATACGGTTTTGTGCGAAACTATACTTATACAAGTTTCTGTTGCAACTAAAATTATGAGTGCCACATCAGGCATGCCAAATTGAATGTAATTCCCTGGGATTTTCCGTTCGCTGTTAAGCAATAAGAATTTTCCGTACATTTTCTGCACCCATTCGGCATCAGCTCTCACCACATGATACTGGTCTAATCTAGCTTCAATTTTCGTTTGGAAAAACTCCGCCGAACAATGGATCCACCAATATCCTTTTTGGCTCCCATTAATCCCCCATGACAACTCGTAAAATTTTAAAGCATATTTACGGGCGGCTGCTCATTATTTTGATGCGCTTTGGCAAATCCATGCATACGCGTACACAGCGAGAAAAAGGATGAGCGCTTGGGCTTGGCTATTATCGAGGTGGGGTGTGCGGAATGACACGAAAACTGGAACCTAACTGGGACTGCGATGCATATA